CATGTTATCTGAGGTTAACAGCCCGAGATCAGAGCGTGCTGTTTGTCAGATAATGACCCTTTGAACTTTCCATCCATTTGGAAGAGGGGAAGATCTGTGATATTTGCCAGGAGTGTAAATGTATGGAAAGCATGAAACATCATATGCACTGAGATGTGAAGTTAAATCAAACAGTCTCCCTCAAGGGTTTATTAATGGATGAAACCAGCAGGCTGTAAAAGACGCAAAATCCATAATGCAAGATTTAAAGGGTTAATTCTGTCGTCGTTTACTCGCCCTCATGTCATTTCAAACATGTAAGACTTTCATTCATCTTTGAAAAATAAACAAAGATATTTTTAATGAGATCTGGGAGATTTCTTTTCCTCCATTGCATTGACAGTCCATGCAACTGCTTCAGAAAGTTTATAAAGAGATCATAAAACTGGTTTAGTCTGAATTTTCTGAAGAGACACGATCGCTTTATACACTGAACAGATTTAATTTAGGCTTTTATTCACACATCATATTCATCAACGCACACATCAGTTATGGTAAACAGAAGCTCAAGCATAAATACACAGGACGAAGAAAAGGGCTAACGACAAGGCAACAGGTGAATGGGGCGAATCAATGAAACACACAGGAAAATAGGTCAAAGGAACAGCAACGGAACACAATGAAAACTAAACGGCTGTCAACACCGGTTTCAATTAAAAACGTTTTATGCGTTTTGGATGCCAGAAAATGCAAACTTTTGAAATCGGGTTTCAAAGTGCAAGTTTTTGGTGTAAACAGCAAAAACGCGAATCTCTAATAACGATGACGTCATGCACATGCATATTATGTGTTCGATCTATAGCGTTTCATCGCCATCTAAAGGTCATGTAGTAGAATACACCATTTTTAATCGTTTTCACGGGTCCTTGTGAATAGGGATCGTTTTGACTGGTTTCATCTGTAAGACGGAAAACTCAAAGCTAAATCCTCTCAGTTTTAAGCATAATGATGTTGTGTAAACATACCCTAAGACATAACCCTGATAACTAACGATGTTTTTTTCTTGTGTGTTAAAGCATGCAAGTTTGAGCTTCTGTTGATGTGATCAATGTTTATATGTGAATAAAAGCCTTCACTTTGTTCAATTCAATCTTTCATATCAAATAAAGTGATTGTGTCTCTTCAAAAAAATTGGTCTAAACTGCTCAATTCATATGGATTAGTTTTATGATCTCTTTACGAACTGTTTGAAGCGTCAAAGTGGTAGTTGCGTCAACACAGTCTCATGAAGATGTGTATCTGTACCACGAATGTCATTTCTCGTGGCATTTATTCGCCAAAAATGTTTTTTTGCGTGCTTATGCTACGCACTAAAAAACCCTGGGGTACACTCTAAAAAATGCTGGGTTGTTTTAACCCAATTTTGGGTCAAATATGGTCAAACTCAAACATTGGGTTAAAAATGTAATTTAAAAAAGTAACCCATTGGCTGGGTTTGTCCATATTTGACCCAAAATTGGGTTAAAACAACCCATCATTTTTTAGAGTGTAGGTTTAGGGGGGAGGGAGGTGGGAATTTTACTATTATTATACACCAAAAAGTGCATATCATACACTCTTAGAAGAAAAGGTTCTATCAGCGCTACGTATTTGGAACCCCTAAAAGGTTCTATACACTCTTAAAAAAAGGGTTCCACTGGGTTCTATATAGAACCATACTTCCATACTTGGCCAATAGAACCTTTTACCAAAAAAAATGGTGAAATGAACCATTTTGGAGTTCCATATTTGAAGCAGGGGATGGAACCGAATTCTGGTTCTAAATAGAACCATTTCTTCTAAGAGTGTGTGCACGCGAAAAACGCCATATACACGCAAAAACTGTTTTTGGCGTATAAATGCCACGAGAAATGACACGGGCTTGTTGTGTGGACTGTCAATGGAGGGAAAGAATTTTTTTTAGACTAAAAATATCATTTTGAAGGTGAATGAAAGTCTGTTGGGTTTGGAACGACATGAGGGTGAATAAAATGATATACTTTTTATTTTATAGTGAACTAACCTTGTAACCTTGTATTGTTTTTTTGTTTCTTTTCAAAGCCACAACAGATTTCTTTCTGAAGGTCAGAAGATGAAAGTCTTTTTTTTTTTGGTTCAGGTGTTTGGTTAAATATATCTTCTATCCAGTATTAATATTCTGAAGACATTCGCCATGACTCAAAAACCATGCTCTGTGAATTTTAATAAAATAGCATGAAACTAAAGATGATTGGACTGCTGTGAATAGAAAGTTACCTGGGTTTTTCTTACATAATTGTCACTTTACATAAGACTGTGTGGTTTTAATCCTTTCGTTTCGTTTTGATAATACTGAGAAGAATGTTCATTTTACATGCTATATTAGCACTGGGCTTGCATGGGCTGCTTTAAATTCAGAATATCTTTTATTAGCTGCACTGTGGTTATGGATTAAGATTTGTTCTGGCATGCAGAAAGTCATTACAAAGATTAAATTGGCATAAATTGTGAGCTTGTGACTCTATGAAGATTCTTAAATTATATAGCATTCATATTATGTCCAAACCTCTTCAATTGTACTTTTAAACTAGAAGTTTTTGCTTTGAATCAGTCTGACAAATTCTTCCAACGTATTTTTTATTAAATGAACTCAGAGAAGCTATTGAATCAACATACTGTGACACACTTACTGAACCACAAGTTCCAAGTCAAAGCATCATTTACCTCATCAGTGGCGTAGGTTTGATTTTGAAATTAGTGGGGAAGGGTACATCAATTTATAAATATATTTTAAGTTTTGATCGAAATTATTGCTAGGGATATATCAGTGACACTGGATATTGGTAGGGATATTCTACGCCCCTGCCTCAGTCATGTCTTTGTATGTGTTATACTCATTTTTAAATTTTACCAAAAGCCTTATGAAATTGATAAGTAGCCTACTTTTTAATGTAATAGTATAATAAGGAACATGTTAACTAGAAGAAAAAAAACGGTAATACTAAGGTCCCATGAGTTTGCCAAGATTGATTGATCTTTAATTAACGTTAGTATTTTCATTGTTAGATCAGGTTAGCTAATGCAGTTAAACTAATGTTCACAGATGTTACAAAGAAAACCAGCCTGTTTTCCCCACATATTTCTCTCTAAAAAGTAACAAATATTGATAAACCCCTTGAGAAGCATCATCTTGTTTTCAAGGTGGTCCTAATCCACAAAAGTTTTTGGTGGGATTATACCAGGGTGGGTCCTATAAAACATTTGGGAACACAAGGCTTATAGGATAATGCATCCCTATATTTCTCTCTTTCATTGCTCAGACTGTTCTTATGACTATTTGCCTTCTAATTTAGCCTGGGAAAACCCAGACAACTTCCGGCAAATTTCGATTTGCTCTGAAAGTTAGTTTCAACTGAGAAGGGTCTAGTTTTAACCAGGCTACTTCTAATTTTGAATCATCTATAATTTTGCAGTTATCACTGTTAAACTGCATTACCCACAATTCCAATGCCTGCTCTAATGCCTGGATAAATGTCTCATTTTGCACTGGTAAGAATGGGACTTATGCTACATTGCATAACATAATAGACATTATTATATGCATCCCGTACCATGTAACCATTCAACTTGACTTGCTTTTAGTAGCTTAGAAAAAGTGAGATTATTTCGTTCACAAGAGTCCCAGGACTTTATCTGATAGATCAAACAATGACAAAAGGGTTGAAAGTGTGGAGGAGCCTGCCCCACACGTTGGCTAAGGTAATAAAAAAAGAAATAGTCAGAGTGCTGTTCTACAATGCTGGAATGTAGATGAGAACGAGAGATAAATTGTGTAGCAGCAGCATTAGTCTAATGTGCCTGTCTGTGTCCCGGCTAAGGAGGTGCAATTATGATCTTATCTAGTAACAGCTTCCTACTGCTAGAAAAACATATCTCACCATAGCCGATTCATTTTCATAAGGAAAGCAAGTGACCCACGGTTGGCTCTTTATAGCTTGGCTGGTGGTGATTTGTCCAGGAAAGTGCTGGGGCACATGGAACAAACTGAATTGAGCATTGTGAAGTTTGCAGACATGCACCAAATCTGTCCAGGGGCCCTGTAATTGCCTAGTGCTGTCAGGTAGTGTTACATATACTACTTTCCAGATGTTTGTGAAGTTGGCACTGATGTTTACATGATCTTACATGAAGTAAAAAGTATTTCACTTAAAAATATTTTACTTAAAAGTTTTATAGCTTTATAAGGCACTAGGCAATGCAGTATCAGTCGATGTGTTGTACATAACCACACATGCATGACTCTTAACATAACATAGGCTATGCATAACAGTAGAGAAATGTATGCAATTTGTATAATTTTATGGTTACAAATTCAAAAGCTCATGAGTTCCGTCACACAGAGATAAAAGATTCAGATCATTCAACAAAATTATTGTTATTGTCCTCAAGCCTCAAAGCGTTACTGTAGTTTTGTAGCTCATGATGACTAGGTAAATGTAAGATTTTGGATAGAATATACTTCATAAGGCACCAGAATGAAACATATTAAAATGTTCAATCATGTGTTTATGTCAGTCCCAGCCAGCCACAAGAATATAACTCATATATAGTGATTGATTTTAATAGAAACGGTTTTTAAAAAAGAAAATGTAAACAGTAAAAGCTAACTGGAAGTCACCTTACCATACTGTAAAAAAGTATGTTTTTTTTTTTTTTTTGTAAAATGCATGAAAATGTATATTCATTGTAATGAGGCAATATGTATGCTAAATATTTAAATACGACGGTAACATATTAATGGGGTACTTCATTCTTGAAATTACCATGCAAAAGCGCAGGAACAGTACAATGTCCGCACTTGGGTGAGACCAAGAAGTTCTTAATATGCGGTGCTTGAGGGACAATTTAAAGACGCGGCGCCATTGGCTGTGCAGCCTATGACGTGACCGTTGTTTAGTTGTCGCTCTGCCTGTTCTTTGAGAGCGCGCGTGTGTGCGCTGGGCTGGAGACCAGAGCGCGGATGGAAGCGCTCCACACAGGACCTGAAGTTCTGAATGAGCGCGCTTCATTTCTCCACACCATGGGAGACGGTTTACCGTCTGTAAACTACAGCAATGACTCTAAACGCACCCCGGATAACTTATCAGAACAGTGGCTCGTGGGCATGGGGATCATCATGGGTCTGGTAGTAATTGTCATTGTAGTGGGGAATATACTGGTTATAGTCGCCATAGCGCGGAATCAGAGGCTCCAGACGCTCACCAATGTTTTCATAGTGTCTTTGGCGTGCGCAGACCTTATCATGGGGTTACTGGTGGTGCCATTTGGCGCAGACTTGGAGGTCAGAGGATCTTGGATGTATGGATCGTTCTTCTGTGAATTCTGGATATCTCTTGATGTACTTTGCGTCACGGCGAGCATCGAGACCCTGTGCGTAATTGCAATTGACAGGTACATCGCCATCACCTCTCCATTTCGCTATCAAAGCCTTTTAACGAAAGCACGAGCCAAGGTGGTGGTGTGTGCAGTTTGGGCTATATCAGCTCTTGTGTCATTCCCACCCATCCTAATGCACTGGTCCCGGGACACCGTGGATACATCATGCTATAACGAACCCGAGTGCTGTGACTTCATCACCAACCGTGAATATGCCATCTCATCCTCCGTTATATCGTTTTACATCCCTTTAATAGTCATGATATTCGTCTATGCCAGGGTATACAGAGAAGCCAAACAACAACTGAAAAAAATTAACAAATGTGAGGGAAGATTCTACAACAATGGTACGAATTGCAAACCTAACCGAAAACGAACCACCAAGATCCTGGCTTTAAAAGAGCAGAAGGCGTTGAAAACGTTGGGAATAATCATGGGAACATTCACTCTCTGCTGGCTGCCGTTCTTCATCGTTAACGTGGTGCGGGTGTTTGGCAAAGAGGTGGTGAAAAAGGAACTCTTCGTATTTTTGAACTGGCTGGGGTACGTCAACTCCGCCTTTAACCCCATCATATACTGTCGGAGTCCCGACTTTAGGAAAGCCTTTAAGAGGCTGTTGTGTTGTCCGAGGCAGGCGGACCGCAGGTTGCACGTGAGCTCGTGCGATCTGTCGCGCTGCACCGGGGGTTATGTGAACTCAATGGAGCAGAGCATGCTCGGGACCTGGTCGGACTGTAACGGCACGGACAGCCGCGACTGCAGTCTAGAGAGGAACGGAAGGGTGTCCCATTCAGAGTCTCAGCTGTAAAAGTATCTGCGAATATCAAGTCAATATTGCACGAGCTGTTTGTACGATTGGAAATCAGGTTATTACTGGTGCGCTAGTGATGTGAGTGTGATTGTTTCGTGAACGTTTCAGACAAATTCGAAAATATTTCCACAAAAAAAGCTTTGAAGTTATGTTCCCTAATCTTTTAAAGGGATAGTTCACTTTGAAAATTAATTTTTGATATGTTTTAGCTTACCTCAAGTGCATCCAAGATGTAGGTGTCTTTGTTTCCACAGTATTTTCAATTTTGATATTTTTAGGTCAAACCGTTTGTGTCTATCAATTGAGGTCTATGGGGTCCACCTCAAAGAGCATGCACAGAGAAGTCCAAATTAAACATGATTCAATGACTCGCCTAAGACACGAAACGAAACGAGCGGTTTGTGTGAGAAAACGAACAGTATTTATATCATTTTTACCTCTTGTAACCATGCTCTTTGAGGTGTACCCCATAGACCTCCATTATATGACTGATAGACATGAACGGTTTGACCGAAAAATATCAAAATTTAAAATACAAGTGGAAACAAAGACACCTACATCTTGGATGCACTTGAGGCAAGCTAAAACATATAAAAAAATAATTTCAAAGTGAACTATCCCTTTAATAAAAATATCTTCTCTTGCAACAATATCTCTTCACTGATAACGTGTTTGCTGGCGTGAGGGTGGGACAACCTGTCAGCAAACCAAAATGATCCAACGTCCCAATCAACTCTGATGGACAAAATCAAGTCATGGCCTACATTTTTTTTTTTCTCAGTTAAGAAGCACTTTGATCCACTACAGAACATGGAAACTTCCATCAATGCCAACTTTACATTTTCACCAAGCAACGCACAAACTAAATGGATGAATCAGAGCTTCCCCAACCCTCACTCAAATTTCTGTAATAAATCTACTCCAGCTCCATTCCGGGTTTTATTCCTGTGCCGAGTGAACATGGATCAATAGAAAATGCGCAATCACTCCATGTCCAGTCCGACTGGCTCCTCCATGAACACGGGTAAGGGGGGTGATACAGACAAACAGTGGGCCTATTTTTTTTACAGTCTATGGTTTAGGCTGTATAAGGTAGTAGACGAAATTTAACAACAACAACAACAATCATTAACCTATTTAGCTAAATTTAGCACATGTATTTGGAGTGCCCATCGAAGCAACTGTGTCTCCTCTGCAAAAGTTTAAAATGAAAAGATGTTTTATTTCTGACACAGTTGTAACCGGTGGGAAACTTGCTCAGTTTGTCACTAAGAAGTTACAAAAAAAGATTTCTATGGATAGATTTCTATTTTCTTTGCTTTATTTATTTTAACAATGTGAATCAATCAGTTAGGTCTATTCAAAACCAGTTTCATTTTGACAAGAGTATTCCAATAAATTAATGATAGACTCATTAAATATATTTAGCAGGGGGCGAAATGAAATTAAACAGCTCTGTTCATGTGACTGTTTAAATCAGCTGATTAAAAATGATCACATTAAATAATTACATTAAGCCTATTGAGAACTCTTTGGAAAACACAACATCTTTGTAGACCCTTCAAACTCAAAAGTAATGCAAGTCACATGATAATGTGGGATTCATAATTCAATTATAAAAGCTGAAATCTTTTCAAATACAAACTGTGCAGTATTTTGCAGTGACTAAATGGCAGTTTGGTCAGGCTAAGGCAGTGATGTTTTGTTTAGCTCTGAAATGGAGTAGTGAAACTGTTTTTTATTCTTCATAGTAATGTCAGGCATTGAGCCTTTACATTGTTTCTTGAAATGTTTTATTCATGAACATCAAAACAACATCTTGTTTTACCTCATACCTGTATAATGTGCAAATTGTACGAGGAAGTTGTTTATATTAAACAAATTGTCAAAATGTACAGTATTTATTTGATGCATTGTACAGAAAAAGCGTGGCAATGTGATAAAATAATGTTACTTGTGATTTACCTGCACCTTATTTGTGTCAAATGTGAGCTGGGGCAATGAGTTTCTTGCATTTTCCATTCATTTAACATTTCAACCAGTTATATATGTTACTATAGACTCATTTATTTGTAAAGATGCGCACACATGTTTTGGCAAGTTTTGTTATGAATATATTTCTTAAACTTCATGTTTTTACAGAAATAATGTATGTGCCATTGCCTCAGGTGAAGTATTGTACAAGATTTATAATGTTGAAGTAAAGCTGGCTAGCATACAATAAAATGTGATATTGTAAAAAGGCACGTTGCTTTTGTAATTACTTTATTCATTTGATGGGATTTCAGAGATCTTTTGGGATTTCAGAATATTGTTTGTTAATTTATTTGTTTTTCAAGGCAAAATGTACTTAAATTAGGGATGAGTTATATGTCTATAGGAGATCTTTAACTATTTTACACAGCTGAGATTTACTCATGGTCTGCAGTTGGTTGAAATTAAAAAAAAAAAAAAAACAGTCAAAAGGCCTCCAATTAGATCTTGCCTTAAATATTTATGTGCTGACCTCATTTAGTTTGCAGCACTTGCATAACTTTTGGGTTTTCCACCATCTCAGACTGCATTGGACTGTAAAAATAACACAAAACAACGTAATTTAATTTCACACGTGCAAACTAACAGAACACTCTTAGAAGCACTCTTAGAACCCCAATAAACCGTATTGTATCTGTGTATGATTGTGTGTAGCAGTGCAGGGTGTGTGTCTCTTGGTTTTTAAGATTCACATCACAATGTGAACACAAAGCATTAGGAAATTCTCCTAATGGAATAATTTTCTGCATCAGTGTTAGCAAAGGTATCATGGAAATTAAAAATTTCTGCAGGTGAACTTCCCATAATCAACTTTCATGAATGTTTTTTTGCATTTATGGACAATATGATGCAATAACGTGGTAAATTGTTTCTTTCTGGTCGTGTATTGTTCTACTAATATATTATAGTTTATTGTGATGTCGACTGAATAATAAAAAGCAGTTTACCTTGTTTGGCTGCTTATCATTTTATTCTTTCTAGGAAAATCTGACATAAACGTATGCCAAATGCATTGTGCTTTGAAAAACAAGCATTTAAGAATACATTTGATGAAATGAACAGCACACAGCTGTGAGGTTGGATGGTTTAAAATGCATTACTCGGAGCTGTGTCCCCCGAGCCCTCTCAGATCTAAAACTGCCATGTCCGCATCGCTTCGGCTAATGAACCTTATTTAAATGCGATTACCTGTGCTAATACAACACAACAACAACACTGCCCGCATCATGAATATGCTCTTGGCTGCATGTCACCTTGTTATTAAAAACAATTTGTTTGCCAGGAATTTGTATCCGGACAGACGTGACAGATGAGGGCCCTTGCGTTGAAACAAATGGAGCACGTGTGATTGCCTTTGGTGTCTTTATCAGCGTCGGATATCTTTCATTAATCAGAAAGCTTGTAGTTTATCATTCTACCTGATGACTCTGACGTAATGACTGCTTTATTTGCTTGGAGGCTCATGTGCCGGTGCGCTCAAAATCAAGTGAATTGCACTGAACCCTATAAGTAGAAAAGATTAGCTCACTGTGGTCAGTGAATGGTACATTTGCTTACTTCAAATACGTTAAGTGTCTATTAATAGCGGCTGGTGGGCAAGTTCAAAACGTTTTCTGAGCTTTGACAGCCATTACGCATCTTTAGTTCACGTAAGGGCCACTTGGTCTGGAGCGGCAACAATCTTTGAACACGTTGTTTTATGTCAGCCAATGGCTTCCAATAGCACATCGTGGAGATAAAACGCTCTCATGTTTTTCCCTCTCACGTTGGCCAACAGCTCACACGGTTAATTGTAAAACGTTACTGGCTTATGAGGTGTTGAGAGAACGGCATCCACTTATATATACCTGTGCATGCCTTCCACATTCCAGTGTTGTAGTTTCCATTCAACGGCTTGTCTGAAGGGCGCATTTGGACCATTCTCCACGCTCACACATACTAAACTTTTGAGGTCGTGATAAAAGTTATGACAATCTTTATTATGGGACAAGATGAAATTTGTCCCAAACATTCAGAAAAAAATGTGCATCATGACAGCAATTAAACGATTTCACTTAACACATAGGCTACTGTTGAAGAAAAATAAAGCCGCAAGGAAACAACCCAAAAGGGCCACAGTGTGTTTCGTTGCAAAGATAAAGTTTATTGCACAATATTCACAAGGATCAGATGGGGTAATCAGAACTGAAGAGAGAAAACAAACAAAATTATAACTGTTACAGACAACAGGGTTTCCAATTCTATCCAATGGAAATTGCTCTGAAAGTGTGCGCAAACACAAATTCACTCATCAAACCACTACAATCTATTCCCCAAACCTTAACAGAGTGTGAGTGTGCAGAAAGTTTCAGAGAAATTTTCATTGGATAGGATTGGGAACCCTGTTGTCTGGATAGGTTATAATTTTGTTTTCTCTCTTTGGCAGTTCTGATGACCCCATGTGATCCTTGTGAATTTTGTGCAATAAACTTTATCTTTGCAACGAAACACACTGCGGTTGTGGCCCTTTTGAGTTCTTTTCATCTCTTGTGAAATGACTGGGTTACACAAATATAGCTTAACTGATTAAAAATATTCTATTCATCAGGAATAGCCAATGCTATCTCACAACCTATTCGTACAAATTTATACGATTTGTCTAAACCCACGTGATGGGTAGGTCAGGGGTAGGTCATTCGTACCAATTCATACGAATTCGCCAACTCGTAAAATTCGTACAAATTGCCATGAGATCAGGTAGTAATAGCCTGTTTTTGCTACACTAAGTGAAAACTGAACACCATAAACTGACACAAAAAAATAGTTGATGCCTTACATTTTGAAGTGCAATCAACTTGGATGTTTAAGTAATTTCAATTTAAATTGAATTTAAAGGTTGAATCTTGTATAAATGATAAAAAAAAGTGCATTAATGAATCCGCAATGGTTTCGTGGTACTACAAGTTATGATTACACGCTCTACGAGGAGGACGTGAATGCTTTATACATGTTGAAATCTAGGCTAATTACGACATGGTGTGTGTCACAAGGTGCGTTCCATTCGACCGTAAGTGGACTGCGAAGTGGACTTCACAGGGTATTTCGCCATCTTAAGTGAGACTCCAATTCGAAGGGAACGAACATGTTCAGTTCGAAGGGCACTGCAAACGGCATAGGGAATAAGGAAACATCGATACATCACTTCACAGGAAGTCAGTGAAGTCCACTTCAACTGATATACCGTGTTCAGGGAGTAGGGAGCAGTGAACACTTGTGTAGGGACCCTGTCGAATGGAACGCACCTACAGACCTGTGGTGGATGGATGATGTGTTTTTGTAGGCCAAAATTCAGAAACGAGTATTTTAGCACCCGTTAGCATTTTCCAATATTCATCGTCCTGACCTCAATGAGTTTTTGGTTAAATGCTTGAATATGGTGTGTGGTAGGCCTAAACACAAACTCAAGGTATTCTCTATGATATAAAATACATCAGGAATACCCTCTTGTGATTTTTTTAAAAGCTTTTACGTGTCTTGTAAAGGGCAGTTGCTTGCAAGTGGCTAAAAGGGACTACAGAGACTACATCGAACGCCATCAACCGAACAGGAAAACTCAAAGCCAACTCTTGTCTGCTTTTACAGCCTCGATGTGTATATAATCGTGGTCATGCAAATTATTTTTTTGATTTTATTAAATGCTTGAATGAACAGTAACAACAAATATTCATGCAAATTATTATAACACAAGCAAACTCTAGTGATGGCGTCAGACCGTGGCATATTTTGTTCATAAGTTAGCCAATGATGAGTTTTTCGCCTTTATTTATGAAGATTAATTAATTTATTAAAATTGATAAAAGTTGTGTTCATTTGTTAAGATTATCATGTTGAACGAAATGTGCTTTTGTTGGACATGGACCTTATTTTCTGCAATAATCCAAAACCAATGGAAACGTACTGGGTTTTTGATGACTATAGTACTTCGTCTGAATGAGGGGTAACGTTAACGTTAAATTCCTTCTATCATTTAGCTGCTGTGTTTTCTGATGCTTTTCTAAACGCAAGTTATCATATTATTATTAATAAAAAAAATTTAGTGGTAAGATTAGACCGTAGTCATTTATCTTGTTAGTGTGCTTGTTTTAACAAGAGAAATAGTGGACTTTCACTAATAACACAACATAGTTAACTTAACGTTACATACCTGCATTCATATGAAGACGTTGTTCTGCAGGTTCGTTGTCGTCTTTTTCAACTCGCTCGCTCTGGCTCGAACATGTAAAGGCTTGATGGACAAGTCTTCCGTTGTTGACATTTTGTTAACGAGTGAATAAAAATGTTCTTTGTATATAATCGTACACCTCTAGTCAAACTACAATAATGGCCGAACGGGGGGAGTTAAACGTTGAACCGAGTGTGAACTCAGCGACCTAGAGAGGGGGCGGGGGTAAACGCAACTCTTTTTTTTTATTTAAAGGGGCCGCTTCAAAACAACTTGCTCACAAAAGCACATCAGAAAAGGGGTAGAAATGGGGCCTGTGGAGCTATAATAATGAGGAATTCAGACCAAAGAATTGCAGTTATGCTTTATATAGACCACAAATGTATGATATATAAGTAAAAATGAATTATTTAAAAGCATGATATGTACCCTAACATTCTCTTCAAGTTCAATTGTCACAACTGTTTGCTGGAACATCAGCGCTCCGTTGCATGTCTGCTCACCCAAAACTTTGAATTCATGCTTCAAAATGTATTATGTCAGTAAATTGGCAAATGCCTCCAAAATAAAAAAATGTTTGTGTCATCGTGTGAGCCACACTTGTCAAAATATGTTGATGTTTTTTTTTTTTTCACCATGGAAATTTTGTTAATTTTTGTCCTACTTTTTTTGTTGACTGACTGCTTTCTAAATTATCCAAGAATCCCAGTTCTGTCTATACTAAATGCTCTTGCATATCACACTGAGCTTTGATTTCAACAGTAGGAAAACAAAATTACTGGAAAAATGAATACTGAATGTACATTAATGTCTTTATTTTAACACGAAAAATTACTAGGAAAAGTCAATATTGAATGTAAATGAATGTATTTATACAGCACATTTATTTGTTTAGAAATGTGTTGTAAACTGATCATTGGTTGCTTGTTCATTTTTACACATATCTTACTTGATTGGTAAGATTGTGATTCATATTTCATTACAATGGCAGGCCATTTGATAAATCAGAGATTAAAAACATTCAATGTCATATAGGTATTTATGGAATATAAAGCCTATGCATGTCCAACAGATTTTGAATGAATAATGTGGAGGCTCAGAAGTTGTGAAGAGTTTGACAATTTCACTGAGAAGTAACTCATCAGTTTTGATCTGCCATGTGCACAATATGATATATTGTGCAACTTGTAGATAACTATTTTGCACATGCCAAAACACATGTAAATAAGAAATTAAAATCTGATGTGAACAACAAACTAACTGTTCAGAAACATTGTTTTGAGAGGAAGCGATTGAGAAAAACTGTAATATATAAAATGTTTAAAATGTACTTTAACATATTTTTTGTTGTTGACTAAAATTAGATGCAGTTCAAAATGGCGAGACATGAAGAAATATTTACTAAATTAAAAACACGTTTTCAGTTAAGACTGATTAAGAAATTAGTAAAATATGAACAACGCCTCTCAATTGGTCATTGTGAAACATGATGTGTTAACATAAGTGTGTTAAGATCTTTTTCTTCTTCTTCTTCTTCTTTTTAAATACTGGAAAAAGGCTAGCTATAGGCTATTTCTAAAAATAAGAATTTGAATCTAATTATATTGACGTAGCTATAGAGATATATGCAATACATGTGGCCAGACAATCTTACATTCCTCCATTTACTCACGGCAAGACCTCCCAGTTAGTCAAAAGCATTGACTGAGGCTTATGAATTCTCTGGAGGTCTACAAGGTTGATATGAGTGTCGGAGCACGTTATCTCGAAGTGCTAAAAATAAGTGCTGAGCGGAGTTCACGCAGTGGCTCTTTGCCATGTACAGGATGTTTCAACCTGCCATCTCTCGTCACATTTATAGCAGACTCTGAAATGCCACACAGGTGAGATGAATTTAAAACAAGCAAGTGTCCATTTTTTTTAAAGGAAAGACATGTGTTAACAGTTTTGAAAGTTGTATAAAACATGTAGGATGGTTCTTCCGATGGCAAAAGCTTTTGTGCATTTCATATTTCACAGAGCTTGTTTGATAAACACATTCGGCCATTTCTGTAAATATGTCTATAATTAGTGCAGGCCGAAGCTAACAGGAAATGCACCACCTAAATTACTTTTCATAAGTGTGTTTCAGTACTGAATGTCCTGTGACAGTTTGCCTAAAAATATCAGTTTCTTGTGGGGGATGCAAAGTGCATTTGAATAAGTAGTTTATATATTGTTATTATTATGTGTCATACAATTCTAAGAGCTTTCCTTTATGTTGACCTGCTCAATATCAGCACTGTGTTGTTGATGTGTCTGTGTGTTTTGTGGGAAAGAATCCATACAGAAACTTCTGGTTTTGGACATCACCTCATACGGTCACATAATGTTACTTAAAGCAATACAGGGGGGACACGTGGTTTATTGTGCTCTCTCACACACAAAATGAGTGACCAGTGACCCATAAGTCACCTTGTAAGTCAGTAAAAAGGGGCAGAAACTCTGATAGGGCTGCAGACCGCAGGGAAAATGCAAGATTAAATGGAGTAATAAAACGCAACTAACCATTTAATCTTGAATAGTTATGGTGGCAAAAATAAATAGGCTTATTATAGGGAGGTGAGAAAAAAAAACAACCTCCCAGCTCATTCAATGTTGATAAGCACAAACAAAGAACATAACCTTTAGGACATTTTGTCTTAATAAAAAACTATAAATTATATTATTTATAAAAAAAAATACTTATATAGCCTATTGTATGCAAATGTGTGTGTGTATATATATATACACTCACCTGAAGGATTATTAGGAACAATATACTAATACCGTGTTTGACCCCTTTCGCTCCAGTTCCACCACATCCCAAATATGCTATATCGGGTTGAGATCTGGTGACTGTGGGGGCCATTTTAGTACAGTGAACTTATTGTCATGTTCAAGAAACCAATTTGAAATGATTCAAGCTTTGTGACATGGTGCATTATCCTGCTGGAAGTAGCCATCAGAGGATGTGTACATGGTGGCCATTAAGGGATGGACATGGTCAGAAACAATGCTCAGGTAGGCCGTGACATTTAAACGATGCCCAATTGGCACTAAGGGGCCTAAAGTGTGCCAAGAAAACATCCCCCACACCATTACACCTCCACCACCAGCCTACACAGTGGTAACAAGGCGTGATGAATCCATGTTCTCATTCTGTTTACGCCAAATTCTGACTCTACCATCTGAATGTCTCAACAGAAATTGAGACTCATCAGACCAGGAGAACAATTTTCCAGTCTTCAACTGTCCAATTTTGGTGAGCTATTTGTAGAGGAGATGAGTGGTACCCGGTGGGGTCTTCTGCTGCTGTAGCCCATCCGCCTCAAGGTTGTGCGTTTTGTGGCTTCACAAATGCTTTGCTGCATACCTCGGTTGTAACGAGTGGTTATTTCAGTCAAAGTTGCTCTTCAATCAGCTTGAATCAGTCTGCCCATTCTCCTCTGACCTCTAGCATCAACAAGGCATTTTCGCCCACAGGACTGCCACATACTGGATGTTTTTCCCTTTTCACACCATTCTTTGCGTGAAAATCCCAGTAACTGAGCAGATTGTGAAATACTCAGACCGGCCCGTCTGGCCCCAACAACCATGGCACGCTCAAAATTGCTTAAATCACCTTTCTTTCCCATTCTGACATTCAAAAGCAACTGCAATGGGATTGGTTGATTAGATTATTGCATTAATGAGAAATTGAACAGGTGTTCCTAATAATCCTTTGGGTGAATTGAATCATAGACTTGATTATAATTTTTTCATTTTAATCCCCTTTAAACGCCATATATACAGAACAGAAGACTCCAGAAGTTTAAAAACATTGGACCATTGTACAATATATCTACAAGTTTATAATCACAGTTTCACTCACTATACAATCAAGCAGAGGACAGGTTACAGACCACAAACAGAATAAACACATCATTTTTTTCCTTTTCAATTTCAATTCACCATTCACAAACATACATACTTCAAGAGATCTTTCTTCTATTTTGAGACATTAAATAAATTATGAATGTAAAGTACACTGACAAATTATCAACAGATTAGTGAGTCTTCATTTCGCCATTAAGGGCTGTGTGTAAATGCTTTTTTTTCTGATAGCATTGCATAATTTCCTTCATCCTGCGTTTTCCGGAATGTGAGCAATGTGTTTAGGATTTGGGAGAACTGAAAGCTACAATACAGGCTCTCGAGTTGGAACAGCTGATATGACCTTGACAAGCTTATATCGCAGTGAGCCGTGTTATTATAAACCCTTTATCACAGTGTATGGCATGATTTTACTTTCAATAGTGACTCAAGCGGGAGAAAACCCAGTGAGAATGGCACTAAAATGGTTGGTAAACTGGCTGAGACCTGCCAATCAATGCATGTCTGTCTTTTACAAGCTCTACAGGTGAAAGTGAAAAATCCATCAGCTGAATCCCGATGGTGCAATTCCTCATCATGCACCCCTGAAAGAAGGGACGGAGTCGAAATCAGAACAGCGAAGCCTACAGCAGTCGCAATTCATGGGTAGGAATGGATTCAGCTCTGCATGATATTGCATACCATATGGTTACATCACCACGGAATTGGATGTTAACGGGATATTTTTCAGGAGTCTTAGATGGGACGCTGGCCAGGGTGATTATGGCTCAGTCAAACAAACAAAAAGGGGGTTAAAATTGCACTTTTGCCCTTAATATTTACAATGTCTCCATTTCATGGGGATGTTACTCTCTCAAAAGTAGCTTTGCAACGTCATAGAAAGAAAAGAAAAAAAAGATGGAACATAAAACAGTTACAAGCTTGTTTCAACAACAAAAAAACACAAGCCGAGGTAGAAGGGGGGAAGAAAATGGGGGGGAAAATAACAACATTTAATTACAACTTAATCCAGATAAAACAAACTGATAATAAAAATGCAAGCTCCCTTAAGACTAGCCCAAGATGGATCAACCTTTCTAAGATGAAGTTAATCATTCTGAATAATGTTTTTAACTTCATAATGAGACAGAGCAAGAACTGTACTTTTTGGCATGGGCCTTCTCGCCTAAGTGCTTTATGAGAGATAACGCTATCCGGGCGTAGCGGTAACCTAGCAGCAGCGCGAACGGGGAATGTTGCCCACTCTCTTGGGTCAGAGCGTGTGGGATTACATACAAGGGTCCTTTTCATTACATAATACATTCATTAATTGGCACGTTTGCATGAGGGGGAAATGAGAGCGAGGAGGAGCAGCCATTAACCTGCGACGTCGTGAATAGAGGAAAAGCCTCTGAAAGCCTCTAAAGAGCTGCACAATCTGCAGGTCTCCATTAGTCCAGCGTATTTTGTTCTTCAAAAAGAGCGTGGGGTCACATTTATTAGAATATTCACTCATCTACCCAACTTCACACATCGGGTCGTTGGATATAGTACTGCAATTCTGCTCTGAACCAGATGAACTTGACTCATCAAGGCACAGATGAGCCGGCTACATCACAGAGGACGGTGAAGAGAGGAATGGTGGATGTTGGGCACGATGTGAAGAAGAAAAGTGAGCACAGACTCTTGGTAACCTCTGTGCTTTTCATTCATTTGTCACACGAGTATCTCTGGCGCAGTTCAGTCTTCACCACAAACTGTGTTTCCAGTGTATGTTTCAGACTGATCTTGTCTGATCAAATGAGAACTGTTTTGTCCTCAAGCGTTTTGTGTCAGGCTCAGTTGAACAGCGTGTGCTGTTTACTGTAACAGCCATCTCTTCAGCTGACTTCACTTCCTTCCGGCTGTATCATCCGGCACCCTTTGCTGCTTGATTAGTCGTTCGATCTCCGAACCCAGCGTCTGGAGATTTTCCTGTAGAGAGAGAAACAAATCAGAGTGCTGTGAGGACTACTGCTATTATTTACATTGCCATTCAGTTTATTCATATGCAAGCGGAGCAAAAAGCCTGTAAGCTTGGATAACCAGGCAATTCCAGGCTGTTTTGCTTTGAAACTGTCTGATTTCCTGCTCATCTCACGATAAGACCGTAATCCTGCCATTGTGCCTTGAATGGAGCTCTGCGTTCCCCTTGTGCCCTGTCCTCATAACATACTTGATTAATTTCTCTGATCTCCCAGCTGATGTGCTTCCTCATAGAGGACAGCTGCTAGCCCTGCTGTGACCTGGATGTGGCTCTATAACCAAGAACTGGTCACTGTGAGCATGGAAATTTGCCCACTTACTCAACGGTCATCCATCACCACCAAATTTGCTTTTCTTCTGATAGCCATCACCAGGAATCCAGTTACACAGAAGCTTAGTTTAAAAATAGTAATTACATCAGCGGATGTCATTGTGGAACTCAACACTAACATCGATATACCAACACCTAGTTTGGCTATATATGGTCACACTATTGCAATTGCAAAACAAATGCAATCTGCAAAAAGTTGAGATTAAAGGGATACTCCACTTTTTTTTTTTTTTGGAAATAGGCTCATTTTACAACTCCCCCAGAGTTAAACAGTTGAGTTTTACCGTTTTCGAATCCATTCAGCCGATTTTCTGATATTTAGAAGATAGTATATACTATAGTATAGTATATACTATGGAAGTCAATGAGACCAGAAACTGTTTGGTTACTGATATTCTTCTAAATATCAGAAAATTGTCTGAATACGTTCAAAAACGGTAAAACTCAACTGTTTAACTCTGAGGGAGTGGTAAAATGAGCCTATTTCCCAAAAAAGTGGAGTATCCCTTTAAAACGAATAGAGACCCCATGAAATGGCTTGATGAGTAGTCAATTCCCATTTATTTATAGTATACAGATTGTTTCAAAGCAGTTGTGATGGTGGCAGTTCTTCTATTTTACCACAAGATGCGTCATATATAGCCAACCGCTCTGCACTTTGACAGGGATGTGGGGCAGGAGCAGGAAAGAGACCATCTCTTTTTAAAATCTTCATGTTTTCTTCGGATGTTCCAAAGCAACTGACACAAAGCGTAATTTTTTTTTTTTTCACAAAATGTGTTTTGGCGTACCACCGCCGGGCTACTGTTGTTGCGTTTGTCAAATTTACTTACTAGCCTAATTGATGAGTGCAGTTTTCTCTTATAGGTGTTGATGTACAATATATGCACTGAGTTTGGTGACTGTAGGTTGGTGGCTGTATGTCGTATTTGTCAATGTTTGGGGGTTACCCCTGTCAGTGTTGACGTTGGTCGCCACTTGTTTTCAGAGATCAATGTTCAATCAGCGTTTGCCAGGTAGTGGCATGTCTGAAAAGTGACATTCTGTAATCTGATGATTGGTTGGTGGCCATTGGTGGAGTGTGAATTGGCCTTAACAGACAAGCCACAAAAGTCCCTTTTTGATTTCATGGGGTCTTTAATGGGCTTGGGTGTCTGTCACTGCTGTGGATGGTGGCTCATACCTTCAGTGTGATGTTTTTGAGCAGGGTGTCCTCCAACACAGCCTGGAGTTTTCGGTTGATTTCCAGCGAGAGGTCGAGAGTGAGGCCGCTGTCGGCGGGGTGGGAGGTGTACAGCGAGGCCATGATGCCACCCCTCCGGATCAAGTGAGCTTTGTTTAAGTCTGAGGCTTCTGAAGACAGAGCTCCAGTCTCTTCTCTGAGCACGTAACTTTGGATAATCCTGCAGGAAACACAACGTTTTTCACAGCAATTTTAAGCGTCAATGAAACCTCAAGCCACAAGCCTCAGTGAGAAAGTAAAAGGTGAAAAACCTGGGGACAGAGGAGGAAAAGACCCCATTATCCATATCTACATCATCACTGTCTCTCTCTCTCACTCTGGATGATATATGCGTTTCACAAATAACAGATTAGAAGACTTTGCACAGCTAAATCTCAGCCAGACTGTCTCATAAGATTTATTTAATGTGACACTCATTTCCTTAAAATAGCTCTTCATGTCATTTTCTCTTTTGCAGGAGTACTTTGGGGGGAAAAAATCCATAAGCCGGTTATAATTAGTAAATGAATTTAGTGTTCATCTAAGAGTACATAAAGGACAAGCTTATTGATTTTGATGTCAGGCTTAAAGGCTTTCTGGCTAAAGGCATTTCATGAAATAAAGTTTAAAAAAAAAAAGGTTCTCAATTAATTAAATTAAAAAGGCAATAGCAGTATGGCCTTGCGTAAAAAAAAAAACTTAGCGAGGGTAGACCATGTAATGTTACCTGAATGAAAACAAGGTTCAGGGAGATAAAGGAAAAACTATACACCACAGTACAGAAAAGAAATTACAGAATTATTTGGATTTGGGATCATATATAAAATAGAATCTTTTCTAACATTATGAATGTCTTTACTGTAACTTTTGTAAGGATTTAACTCATCCTTGATGAATAAAAGTGTTGATTGCTTTTATTTATTTCGCCCGAAAATAAAATCAAAATTCTTACTGACACCTAACTTTCTATTTTATTCAAAGAATCCTGAAACAAAAATGTAAAAACAGTTTTCAACATTGATAATAATCATAAATGTTTCTTGAGCATTACATGATCCTTCAGAAATCATTCTAATATGATCATGTGACACTGAAGACTGGAGTAATGATGCTGAAAATTCAGCTTTGATCACAGGAATAAATTACACTTCAGAAACCAGTTGTTTTAAATTGTAATAATATTTAACAATATTACTGTTTTTGTTGGTATTTTTAATCAAATAAATGCAGCCTTGGTGAGCAGAAGAGACTTCTTTTAAAAACATTAAAAATCTTACAGATCTAAAACTTTTGACCAGTAGTTTATATCCAAAATTTCAATCCTTAATTAATGTAATATTATCTTTTATTTTGTACTGAGACCCAGAAAGAGACATGAGAAATGTTTTAGCGATCTTAAAAACCCCCCCCCTCAATTCAGTTTTAATTGCTTCAATTTTAAATCACAGTGGCGAGCAGATGGAAATCATAAGTAATTCCCATTTCCCTCCCTATTGTTTTGTTAAATAAAAAATGGAGAAGGAAAAAAAAACTAGTTTTCTTTAAAGGATGATGTTGTGATGTACATTTAGTCCTTGCAAGAGAGTTCTTCCTTCACGACCACTATTTAAAATCTATTTTCTCTGCAGTGACGCACAGCCCGAATAAAAGGCAGAATTCGATTCTAATGGTTTCTTCAGAGCACTGCTCGAGACAAAGACATTAGAGGATGTAAGACTAAACGTCTCTAAAGGTAAAAAAAAAACGATACAAGTGCTTTTTGAATTGATGAATTCACTCTCATTTCACTGTCTGAATCTGAAATGAACAAACTAGGGCATCTATACCAAACCAACATTTAAAACAGGGATTTTTTTTGTACCCTGATAAAATATTACAAAGAATTTAATTACCAGAGTGACAGGAAAGAAACTAGGGGAAATGCTTTGGGGAAAAAAAAGTGTCTGTGATGTGCTGATTCTACAAAATCAAACAAAAAAACAGATACTATACGTAGTCGTACACATAGACGCACACACCACAGAAAGAACAAATAAAAACGAAAAACTTACCTCTCACTAATATGCAACTCCATAAGGTTAGTATTTAACAAAATGAAACAAAAGGAAATTAAAAAGCTGCCCTTAGCTTAACATTTTGAATGCACATACAGACACATGTAATTGCAATTCATTATAACCTTTTTTCTAGTGGCAATCCTACAACAGTTCAGTAGCATGTAATCCACTTTACTGCCATTCTGACTTTTATAATACAGAACAGTGGAGAACTGACAGTAAATTGAAGAAAAGAGAGAAAGAATTGGATCGGAGAATTGGACCCAGGCTGGACAACAGCTGTACCACAGCTCTGAGACCATTCTGAATTTTGATTCGCAGACCAATTTGTTGGAAACAGATGACAGTTTTAGCTAAAGCGCAGTAGCATGGCCTAATTCTCATTGCCTGGAGGCTGAAAGAGCAAAAGATAGGCAGCAGGAACATCAGAAGAGTATAGAAAAACAGACACGAGCCATAGGACGAAATAAAGAGAGTCAGGCTTTGGCAGTCTGTTCATCTTCATTCGAGGAATCAAAAGACGAAATGTGAATCTTTATGTTTATTTTATGAGGATTGTGAATTTCTAGCACTACAACTGAACCATGACAAAAGATGAGAGCTCGTATCAATGATCATATCAAATCAAAGATAAATCTAGACAGCATATTCCCGTTTCAATCAAGACAAATGGGTCAAAAATACCCAAATCACTCACCAGCCTTTCCAGTCAGATTGCATTTCATACATTAAAATCTTGAACTGCATTATTAAATTTGCCTGTGTAAAACTCACCACCACAATGTTGGTGTTCGTTCACCTGACAATATTGTCATGTTTTTCAATGTCCCAATGATATTCTGGTCCTTTGACACTGCTGGAGTCCCCAGGGAGGCAACGTCAAACCAAGGGGTTCAGAGTCTGAACATTCAATAATTTTTTCCACACAAGTTTCATCATCCACTGGACAAATATTTAAAAAAGTAATAGCAAACCTCTCCACACCAAGCCATATGATTTGTCCATGCTAAAATGTAATCCTTAAAGAAATAGTAAAGAAATAGAAAAATCTGACATGATTTACTCACCCTCAAGTTGTTTCAAACCTCTATGAATTTATTTCTTCTGTTGATCTTTAAGATATATTAAAGAATGTCAGTAAGCAAACAGTTGATGGACCCCATTGACTTCCATAGTATTTATTTTTCCTACTATGGAAGTAAATATGGAAGTAAAAAACTGTCTGGTTACTGACATTCTTCAAAATATCTTCTTTTTTGTTCAGCAGAAGAAAGAAATTCATACAGGTTTGAAACAACTTGAGGGTGAGTAAATCATGACATCATTTTCATTTTGAAGTGAACTATTCCTTTAAGGTTAGAGGTTTGTTGAAATGTAGCAAGCACTACTAAATATAGTAATAATTTATGCACCAATCCAATAAAAAATAATCACATGCAAGTCTAACAGCACTTGGTATCAATTCCAGAACACAGCAATTTCCTCTAACCGTCCTTGACGAGTGGCACAATGAGAATACTTAGGTTTAACCCCTTTGATAAATATGGTAATAGGTCATCTAGGTGTGGTCAAGCTCTAAAACCAAGCAGACGTTATTAAATCAATTGCGGTTTTATGGTATAATCAATTTCCACTGAGCCTTGAATGATATAACGGCCTGATCTAACCTTTCCGTATGTCAAAGAATCACTCGAACGGCAACAGTCGATAAACACTGGGAAACATTCCACCGCTTGGCAAGCTTGGACTTGTGGAGGAAGCTCAGCTGCACGTAATGGCTAAAGATCAGCTAAGGAGGCTAAATTAAGCCTGACCTCAATGGGATGCGTCTTTGATTAGAACTAATGAATGTGGGTTAGTGCAGGTGGATTGACTAAAGGCCTATCATTATTCAAAAGTGATGGAAAATGGACATAGATGGCATTTGGGTCCAGGGTGGTGGCAGCAGCCCAACTTGTATCCTTCTGCGGCATGTTGAATTATTTATCTTATTCAAAGTCTGATCACGAAAACAAGGCATTCTCGTTCTCTGAGCGCATTCACTTTGTTTTGCAAAAAGATTTTTTTTTTGTTCTGTGGTGGAAATGTGCACCGGCAACCTGAATCCTCATGTATAGGGGTGCATATGAATATGTATCAGGCATCATTAGCAACCTCGGTGACGCATCGTTCCCGCAAGAACTGACAGCTATAAATATCACTGCCAAGACCTCTCTGTCTCTCTGGTTTGCTCAGTGCGTGCGTGTGTGTGTGTGTGAAAGAAAGAAAAAAAATGTATGCCAGATCCCCTTTTGCAATTGAAGTCAGATACAAGACACAAGCCTAGGTCAGGAAGCCAAAGACAAATAAACAAAAGGGAAAAAAAACAACAAAACGAAAATAGGCAGAAAAACAAGAGAAAGAGAGGATGCAAAAGAGGGACAATGACCAGCCAAATCTGACCAGATGGAAAGGAAGGGCGGCAGTGAAAAATTCTCTACACCAAAAGCTCAGGGCTATTCTACAGTGGCATCAAAAATATTTGGACACTTAAAACTGCCTGAATATCACAGTGTTAGATATTTAACTCACAACATGGCCAAACCTGTTAATTAGAGTATACATTTGGCCATTTCAGTCAATTTGGTGAGGACAAATTTATGCTGGTCATTTAAAATAAATATACCATATGGTTTTGATATTTTATCAGACATTCATAGATTTTTCATTGTGGCTGAAGTGTCCAAATGTTTTTTTGGAGCCATTGTTTTCATTGTTCTACATTATTATTTTTCTCATTGCTTCTCTTTAGTGTCCTTCCTGAAAACTTTGTATAAACTAATGTCAATAGAAACTAGACAGCTCATTTGTAATGGTCAAAATAAGTTTTGCTCCATTGTCTTTCATTTTCCATTCTGTCTTTTTCACTTTCACTCACTTTGTCTTTTTCCTGATCTCCTCCACCAGTTGTTTGATGTGGTCCTCCATGAATTCAATCTTTTCATTCTTACGAGCATGTGCTTTCTGCAGCCGGACGATACGCTCCACCAGCACAGCTTTGTCCACTTCAGGAAAGCTGTCCACCACTACCACAGATGAACCGGACTGATTCTCCGGAGAGCGATCATCCATACTGCTACCCCGTGCGTTTAGAGAGCCTGAAAGTGAGAGATTCAAAGCATTGTGAAGTAGTAGTCACACGAAACAACAATACACAACACAGGAAGGAAACTTAGTACTATGATTATAGGAAAACTCTGGATTCAAAACAAGTTAAGCTTTATCTGCAAATGCTGCTGGTAATGTCGATCACCTCAAATTCATTTGGACACATTCCTTTTTAAAATCGCAGGTTACAGTAACACACTTACAGGAAAGTAAACCAGGTCAGCATTCCAGAGGGTTTAAAAGAAGAAATGTGAAGATCAGTTTTGTGTTTAAGCATGTACGTGATTTATTTAGAAAAGATTGAATAAAAGTTCACTTATCCACTGTTAGTGTGTTACTGTACTGATATTTTACTTTCTGGTTTCTCTTTCGTAAAATGAGGTTGATGTGACCTAATCTGTATTGAACCAGAAAAATTACACACACACACACACACACACATTTTTTTGTTTTTGTTACGCTCACCAAAGCTACATGAATACAGTAAAAACAACTTTTCTATTTTAATATCCACCTTTTTCCTGAGTAAACGATGAGTGCTGCCATGAGGAATTCCAACTTCCGTTTAGATGGTGTCCTGTTCCGGTCTCCATAGGAACACATTGTCAAAACGGGGTAAAAAGAGCGGCTGAATTAACTAAACAGAAACTTTTTGAACATTACTAAAAAATAAAAATGTGCGTAGGGTTAAGCTGTGCTGTTGTTGGCGCTACATAACAGCAATAAACTGAAGAAATTCTTGGGAAGTATGTGTTTTGAGCACCAGCGAAACTGAAAAGAATGTCTGTAAACAGTAAATGTCAAGAGAAAATGAGCAACGTTTGCGGCCCTTACATTAAAATACTACCCAAAGAGGGTATATGTGCTTATTCATTTTGATTTGATGACAAAATCCCACGAACTTCAGTAGGAACATGTAGGATGTATGTTTTCGGACAGTTTTGCGTCATCTACGCACTCATTAAACTGTGTTGAGTGAGGCACTGACAAAAGACAGCCATTGCTGTAGAGTCACAGTGGAGCCATGTGCTTTTTAAACTCTTTTCATAAGTTTAACATTACATTATCAGCTCGGAAAATACGCTAATTTTACAGCATCATTCTAGTACGAGTCAGGCGAGACTTTTACGTTCAGAAAAAGGTGGATACATGAACCTTCATAATAATATATTTATTCATAGTTAGCTCTTTCAAGAATATAATACGTTAAAAGACCCTATTTCATGTGTTGATTATGAATTTTAAATGGATTATGCTCTTTAAATGTGCAGACATGAATAGGTATAATAACTCTGCTTTAGGGCTACCCCGAATAAAGATTTTTCTAGTCGACTAATGGTCGTTCATTTAAACCATTAGTTTAACCCACTACATCTTAAAATATTAATTTAATTACTAGTAATATAGGCCTAATATGTCTATTCCACACTCAAGCATTCAAAATAAATAAAGCTTGCTGCAAAGCACCGGCAAATTATGAATGTGTCAGGACAAAATAGCAAAAATGACGGAATACTTTAAAGGGATACTCCACCCAAAAATGAAAATTCTGTCATCATTTACTCACCCTCAAGTTGTTGCAAACCTGTTTGAGTTTCTTTCATCTGCTGAACACAAAGGAAGGTATTTTGAAGAACGATTGGCATCATTGACCTCCCATGGTATTTATTTTTCTACTATGGATGTCAATGTTGCCAAACAACTGTTTGGTGCCAATCGTTCTTCAAAATACCTTCCTTTGTGTTCAATAGAAGAAAGAAACTGGTTTGCAACAACTTTAGGATGAGTAAATGATGACAGAATTTTCATTTTTGGGTGGAGTATCCCTTTAAGTTGTTACACTATTTTTCTAGGTTATCTTAAGAGCGAGCAGCCATATAAAGTTGCTACTTACATGTTTTAAATGATAAGCCATATTTGGATGGATGGATGATAGGCGAACGCTTCGATTTCCTGCACCACATACTGTAATTACCACAAGGATCTGGCGTTAACAATCTGTCCCTCACGGACTGAGTGACTTCGCCACTTCCTTTTTTTTCTGCGACTAACCGACTAATCAAATTTTGGTCGACTAAGCCTCTTCCAGTCAACTAACATTTAGTAGACTATTAGCGGGCAGCCCTACTCAGCCTACAACTATTTAAGTGGATAAAGGCTATTGTGATTAAGAAAGAGCCCTACTGTATAAGCAAGAGGGCGAACAAGGCATTATGAATACTTTTATAATGCATTATACTGTATATTGGCCACAAGTAAAGCATTACCAAAATAGGGCATTTAGGGAAAGAAAAGGTTAAAATGACAGTGTGTGTCACTCTCAACATCTTTAACAAAGTGTTAAATGGATGTACCTGAGGAACTGGAGCGGCTGCCCATACTGCTGCCCTCTCGATCACATCCTCCATTCTCCACCTGATCCAGCTTCTTACGAGCTACACAAAGGCACAAACACACAATGAGTTCTCTCATTCTCTTACAGTGATGAACACACACTCCTGGCAGAGACCGACACCTCAGTATCAGTAATGAGCCGATGACTGAGTGCTTGTACCGCTCAGTGCCTCTTTCTAGTGCTGCACCTGCTGAGGGGGGTTATGACTAACCATAAAACTCCCACCCGCTTGGCACATCTACCGTCCATCAAATATGTAGAATTAAGTTTCATTTTTAAAATGCAGACCTTGAGAAAGTTTTTGAAGATCACGGGGACCCAATTGGGAGAAGGAAAAAAATAGATTTGTTTAAAAATACCATCATACTGTACGCCTCCTCCGACACTAAAAGAGAGTCCCAAGGTGCACGTTCTTCTCCCTTGCCCTCCCCTCCTCGTCTCTCCTCTCAAAGAAGAGATGCTGTGAAAACATGATGCTTGTGCCCTAACCTAGGCTTTCCTGCGGCTAAAGGCAGGCACAAATACATAAACTCAATCTGTCTGCAATGAACGTCAGTCTGCCCCACCGGGAGCGTCAATATGCCTTGATAATTACTAACAGTGCCTGTGGGCTCCTGGGAGCATGGAGAAGTAACTCACTGAGAGCCTATTAAAATAACACATCGAATTCTAGTTACGACATCTACACACAGAGGAGAAAAACAATATGAGAGGGGAACGATATATAGCCCCTTTTCAGAATTGTGTTATGATTTGTTAATTTTTTTTCTTTCATTATGTATTAAAAACATTGGCATCAGTGGTTCTTAACCAGGGGGCCAAATATGCATTGTGGGGTTGTTCTGATAGGATAGACCGCAAAGGGAAAAAAACAATACTGAGCAAAACTAAACTTACAATTGTGCATATCAAGGATAGAAAAAATAAATAAGCTTTTTAAAGGAAGGGGAATGCTTCTCATATTGACGTCAAAGGCCATGTGTCCAATTCTATGGTATTTTGGCAAAAGTGTGCTTGGTACAAGCGAGCCAAATTAAGAAGATGCCAGCTTGGACCTGTTGTGTGACATGTCCTCATCCTCAAAAAACATAAACAAAACTATGCAACAGACCAAGACTACATTAAATATGAACTTTAACACATTTATGTGTTAAATGATCATGCATTTAAATAGTTTATCATATTACTGTATTTATGAAGTTCATTCTGATATTAACAAATTACAGGGGTTTTTTTTATTATTATTTAAGGTGATTTTGTACAATAAAGATATTTGATCATTTTGGTGGCAAGCGTTTGATGCTTTCATGCGATGTCACATCCTTATAGGTTCCCCACTTAGATGGCAAACCAAGGCTTTCCACCATTCCCAGACAGTTATTTTTATCAGGTTTGTACTAACCTGAGAAAATTCAGTTTACACATGATTGATGATTATGGCTTACAGATATAAAAATCTTTTCACAATATTCTAATATTGAATTTGGGGTTTTCATAAACTGTAAGCCATAATCATCAAAATTACAACAAATAAAGGCTTGAAATATCTCACTTGGCATGTATTGAGTCTATATAATATTTTATTTTCACCATTTAAGTTGAATTACTGAAATTACCATATTCAAATTTTTCGGGTTTCACCTGTATGTAAATGAAAAATAAAAAAGGACATTCATTAATTGAGCTGCTAACCCTGCGTGAGCTGCTTGGTGAGGTCTTTGATGTTGGCCGTCTGTTTTCTCTTCTGAGTGACCAGTTCGTCTCGTAACTCCTCCACACGCGTCTTTAGTTGTGACGTCTCCGTCTGCAATGACATTCTCTCCGTCTGCAACGCCAAAACTTCCTCTTGTCTCTTTTGCACCTCTGTCTTCAACCTTTCAGTCTAAAAAAAAAAACCAGACAAACTGAATAATGCCAAAGTCTAAATGATTAAAAGTTGTGTACGTGTCTTTTGGAGTTGCTAAAAATAAACTGGCCATTCAATACCATGATGTTTGATATCAAACTAGTTCACAGTGTTGGGATGTAACTAACCAAAAGTAGCAGTTATGTAACAATATCCTGGCTATGTTCAATAATAGTGTAGGTTTTACAGTAACAAACAATCAAGCTGATTTGTTTTATTGGAATGGTTCGTTTTAATATACGAGATCATTACCATTTAATTAGTCTCATCACTCAGTAGTGTTCTTTTTACTGCACCTTTTGTGTAGCTAATAAGTATTCAATTAAATTTTGTTGTTTAGAAATTTTTTCACTTCAGATACAAAAAAATTGCTTTTTTATAATATATTGCATTTCGTTTAAAATTGTGTTCAAGTTTTATGCTCAATGTTTGTGCTTTACCAATTAAAGGTGCAGTAACCGATTTCTGAGAAACACTGTTGAAATTTGAAATCAACCATAAAAAAAAACCCTCCCTTCACTGCTCTTCCTCCAAAAACGCAAACACGCAATGCAAGAGTGGATGTCTCCATCATAGCTGAAGTGAAGCAAAATAATACTTCACAAAAAAATAAAGTGAAGATGGCGAAAGAAAGACAATGAAGAACAAAAAAAAAAATAACACAATACACAATATATACAAGAAATGGTCGCCAGCAGCACACTAGCTCCAGACAAAAAAAAAAAAGATTCCTATAGCTAATATTACAATACCATATCTTGGTTTCTCAGAAATAGCTCAGAAATCGCTTACTGCACCTTTAAGATCCTTAAAGTTTGTGAACCAAAAAAATAGATTTAGTGAAAATATTTGTGAATAAAAAAATTATTTTTAAAAGTAGTGCCTTTGAGGGTGAGTTTACGGTCATTTAACTACTTTTAATAACAGGTAGCTTGCTATTTGGCATTATACGGTTTCTAAAAAATCTCACTACACTGATATACATGCAATCGTCTTACCATTTCAGAGAGGGATCTCTCTGTCTCCTCTAGTTTGCTGTGCAGCTCTCTGGAGTCATTGTTCAATCTGTCCAGCTGGGCCTGTAAGCTGTTGTTCTCAGACTGGAGCTGAGCATTTTTACTGGTGAGTTTCTCAGTAAAGCCCAGTAGCTCTGCCTCTCTCGTCCTGCTGCCTTCAATGTCCCTCTGCAGGTCAGTTATCTGAGAGTTCAGATTCTCCACCTCCTCCCGCAAGGATGCAATTTCCTGATCATCCCTGAGAAAGACACAAACACATCAGACACAAGGACCAACACATGTACAGACCATGATATTTAAGAGTTTTGCACCCTTGACTAGTTTAGGCATAAAGGTGTACCAGCATTCATGACTGAGTAGACTATAAAAGTACCGGACTGAAGGGTCTAAATGAATGTACTTTGTATTCCCATTCTTGGGAATACAAAGAACTCATCTGCAGATCAGAGTTTTAAAATACCCTCAAAATAAGAATTAGCTAATACAGCTGACTGACACGTTTATGTGCCCACCAGAAGAGAAACGGGAGCAGGCCCTGTGAGGCGGCCACAGAAGTATGAATTATTTCGTCAGTGCAGCAGGGGCCCGTGTGATCACGCTACTGTGGATTCACATCCACCTGCAGTTCCTGCATCAACAGGGTCCACCAACTGCTGGAAGATCACTCAAGGTCAGGACACAGTACTGATGCTTCATGTTCAATAGAGGCATAGCAAAATGAACAGTCTAAGGATCAGGGAGTCGGATGCAAATGCTATTCAATCATGCAAATACGAATAAAGTCTGTAGTGTTGGCTTGACTATTATAGACCTTAATGAGAGTAGAACACATTTCGTATATAGACGTGAACAAAAACGAGGCTGAGGAAAGGGAGTTGGTATGGTGTATTGGATTCTATATTTTCAGTTTTCTTTTTAATTTATGTTTTAGTATTTTTGTGTGCTTTTGTCTTGATCATTGTTTTATATTTCTTTTTTTTTCCATTTAATTTATTTTTATTTCAGTTTTAGTATGTCTAGCCTACCGAGCTGAGGATCTGAATCAGGTGTGTTAAATAAGGGAGACATACACAATATGCAGAGCAGTGGGTCATGAGGACTGGAGTTGAGAACCCCTGGTTTAAGTCATTTTAAAATCAGTCCCCTGAGCAACATTTGTAATCTTTGCATTTTTTTAAGTCTTTATCTTTAACATTTTTATTTTATTTTATTTCATTTCTGCTTTATTTCAAGTTTAGTTTTTAGTTTAGTTAGCAAGACTAGGGTAATCTTAGCAAGACTAGGGTAATCTACTTAATATGTTATATAGTTGTCTTTGTTTTTCATTGTATTAATGATTTTTCGTTTTTTTTTAAACAAGGCTTTATAACATGGTTTTAATTCTTTATTTAGTATAATAAATTAACAATGGACAATTAATAATATTTTATAAATCTTAAATGATAAATTCAACATGCGAGTATACCTAATTAATTATATAAATTATTTTTTATTTATATATATATATATATATATTTATTTATATGTAGTATAAATATACAACATTTATAAATAAACAATAGCCTAGGTTAATAAATGCAGTAAAGAGTGTTCATTGATTACAATTTGTTAATTTAATTTGCATTAATACTACATTTTTTAAATAGTTATAATGATTGTTTGAATAGAAAATTATGTTTACTTTGCATTGAAACTGGTATAAGTAATTGTAAAACATAACTGGTAAATGAGTCCTGAATATCAGATCTGAAAAGCAAATTGGAATGGGGTGCAGTGCGGTGCATACAAAGTTTAGGCTCGATGAGCTTGTAGTCGAGTAAATAATACACATGATATAGTAGTTAGTGGTAGGAGGCTATTGGCATGAGTGTTCAGACCTCTGGTGCTGCTCCTCTAGTCTAGTGATGGCAGAGAGTTTTTCCCTCTGGTTCTGAATCTCAGCCTTCTGTCTGTTAATGATCTCTCTGTATTTGCAGAGTTCATCTTCCCAGCGGGGCCGTTCATCCTCCAGACACTTAACCTGAGGGCCAGAGAGAGTGCCAAAGCATAAGATTAATGTAGTTTTATAGTATCATTTCAAAGAGTTATTTTTAGAAATGAGTTTCCACCTTGGTCCGGAGGGTGGTCAGTTCATCCATGCCTTCCTTAAAAGTCCTCTTGAGATCCTCCAACTCCTTAATCTTGGCCTTGTGCATCTGCCAATCAAACAAACTGACCATGAAAAACCCCTCTTTCGAACATCCAGCCATTGTTCATTATTGTAATCACAATCAGCAGAGGACGCCTGCTAGGCAACACTGTTAATAATGCTAATGAGAAAGCAAACGCAAGCACTATTTCTTGCACAGGGGTGACTCATTGATAAGGGAGCACACACTCTCATTGTCGGCCTCGGGTACTAATGACGCTTGGTGAATGGAGGCTCATTTACTCATAAATGCATTTAAAAGCAGGTGGCAAAGTGCCATACGGCCCAAGCGGGATATCTCAGAAAAGCAGTGGCAGAACAGCTAAAAGAAGCGAACCAAAGAAAAGATATATGAGGTGTAACAACATGAACAAACACTCATCCCCAAAAGCTGTAAATTAGACTTGATGGGGCCTTTGTGCCCTAGTGAAGCACATTAGTCAAATATGAAATTTATATCATTATCGCTTGTTGTAAATATACAGCTCCTATAGTCAAGACTGTACTGATATCAATCAAACTGTCTGAATTTGTGCTCTTAAAATGAATTATACTGAAGGCAATCGGAGTGTAAATTAAGTGAAGCTGCACCTCTAGATGGTCTGTTTGCTCTTGTTTTTGCTTCTCCAGCTCTCCTTTGGTCTCTCGTAGTTTTGCATCCAATTCATTTGACTTAATCTCCTCAGATTCCTGCAGGAGTCAGAAAGGGAGGAATGAAGTTTGTAACAAGCCACAGAAATTGCAAATTAGCTTATATCCCCCTAAATGAAGATAAGCCACACAAATTATGTTGAGCGGAGGACTAAAGCAACCATTTTTTAATAATTTGTAGCAGAATACACTGCTTGAAATGCACATCTCCAACTCATTATAGATAACGGACAAAAGACTTTTGCAGTCTACATGCAGGGCAAATGTTTGTATATGGTTCCCTCTAGTGGGCAAAACTGATCTCATGTCATAAGAAAAAACTACCTGGTACGTGCGGATCATGTCCTGGCAGTTTTTGCGAATCTGTTCAGTCTCTTCTTTTGCTTGAGTGAGCTTGGCGGTGGTTTCTCTTAACCGGTCCTTTGTTTCCTGTTATTGAAGAGACATCACAATAAAGTGAAATCAGCAATAGAGTGTTGTTAATTTTTTAACTAAAATGAAAACTAAAATAATTTTCGGTAAATCAAGCTAAAATATAATAAAATATAAATATTAGATGAAACAACTTTTTTAGTAAGCCGAAGGAAAACTCATAACTGTCAACACTTAACTAACTATCGATTCTGTTTACATTATAATTAATTACACTGGAATCGCTGGAATCACTTTCAGAGCAAATACTTGAACCTTAAGTCCTTCTTTTACAATGTTCTTTGGTTTACCTTGTGAGCATCCGTTTCAGTCTTCAATTTGTTCTGAGCCCACTTTACTTTGATGACATGAGAATTGATTTCTTCCTTGACTTTCTCCAGTTCACGGGAAAGTCTCGTCACCTCATTCTCCTACAGAAGCGTAATCAAAGACAAACACTCCTGAGAACATATACATAATCAATGCATACTGTAGATTCACACACCACATTAAGCATCAAAATAAACAATTTCTTAATGTATGACCTTGGCATCATAGAGCTGCTGCAGGCGGCCTTTTTCCTGGGCCAGCGTGTTTCCTCGTCTGGCCTGCTTGTCTACTTCCGTTGTGGCCTCCCGTAGCTTCTTCTCCAGCTGTTCCTTCTCCCTCCGCAGGTCCAGTGCTTCCTTTTCACCTCGAACATACTTCATCACCATTGTCTCCTTCTCCTGACGAGCCTCCTCACATTTCTTATTGGCCTAGGATGAGCAAAACATACATGTAAACAACACATGAACATGCTCTGTTTATGGATCATGTGAGATCTGTTCCCCGCACAAATATATTAGTGACCGATATATTGCCATGGCCGGCATTTCAGACGATATTTGGCATTCCTAGTTATTGGCATCGGCCGAGAAGTTTTTCTGTTTGGCCAATGTGTCCTATTTTGACAGCATGTGGGACTGACAGCATGTCAGCGCGAGTGTCAGATCTCCCATTCTCCTCCTTCATTAGTTTGCTGTCTCTTTTTATCAGTTCTGTTAAATTATTAGACAGAGCTGTAAAAGAAAGTAATCAGATTTACCAGATTAATGAGTGCACTGGTTACATCGTTTACTTCCTTTTTATTCATAATTCATTTTAACAGTTTGATATTTGTGAAGAATACTGTAACAGGATAAAATCTATTCATTTTACAGATTTATTATTTAACAAGTTCTATGATAAATTTTCTGTTTCTAAAGTTCTATTTATTTCCAATATAGTAAAAATGATATACAATTGTCATGCATGTTTTTACGATCTATGAATGTATCAGATTTATAATCAGACATCTCTCTAAGATATTGGCATCAGCATCAGCCATAAAAAAAATAAAAATAAAAAATAGGGCCGTCAAACAATTAATCACGATTAATCGCATCCAAAATAAAAGTTTGTGTTTACATAATATATGTGGGTACACTGTGTATACTTATTTTATATATATAAATACACACACATGCTTGTATATATTTAAGAGATATTTTCATGTATATACTGTATATATATTTATGTATAATTTATATTATATATAAATATAAATATTTTACATATAAATAATATTTTTTTCATATACATGCATGTGTGTGTGTATTTATATATACAAAATAATTATACACAGTGCACCCACATATATTATGTAAACACAAACTTTTATTTTGAATGCGTTTGACAGCCCTAATAAAAAATCAATACTGGTCGACCACTACCAAATATACACTAACTATGAAAACTTCTATGATTTATCATAGTTGATGTTTCAGTCAGTGAAAGAGCAAAAGAGAGGCCCTCACACTTAACTGAGTTTACATGAGAGAGAGGAGCTGTTTGAACAAGTCCTGCCAAACCAAACACAACTCTCTTTCTATATTTTGTGCAAATTTTGTATGACGTTAGTTCTCAATATCTGAATGCTGGACATCACATTTAGCTGCTGTTGAGTGGGATTATAAAAGGAGGACAAATACAAATGTAAATTAACAAAACGCACAGCGAACCTCCTTTAGTTTGTACAAACATGATATCACTGTATGACTGTTGTGATTACATTTTAAAGATGCTTAGAGACAGACTGAAAACTGTATATATATATTTAAGAGGGTTCTTATGCAGAAAGGGATTTGTTTGGACTGTGTCCATGGCGATGACCTCTCACCTGTTCAAGCCTATAGGCAATATCCCTCTGCATCTGCTGGATGGCATTCTTAGCAGCCTGATCCTGGTGAACCAGTTTGTCTCTAGAGTCTTTTAGTTCCTTCATTAGTTCCTCCACCCGGCTTTCAAACTGGTAAAACAAGAGAGACAATCAGTTAAAATGTCATGACTACAGAAACCATAAACATATTCATCATGACAACAGCAGAGGCAGCACTGACAGACAGTAGACAGGTCAAAGTTTACACGGCCAGTGAGTGCAATATGATTAAATATAGGCTACACTGGTGGTCAAAAGTTTTAAATCATTAAGAGATCCTTCAAAAATCATTCTAATATGCTGATTTGGTGCTCAAAAACGTTTCTTGTAATCAATATTTCCACAAAAATCTGTTTTCAAGCAGCAAAATCTGTTTTCAACATTGATGCTAATAAAATGTACTATTAATGATTGAGCACCAATAACAATTGATAATCTAGCACTAAATTAGCAAATTATAATTATTCTGAAGGATCATGTGTCTGAAAACTAGGGTAATGAGCTGAAAATTCAGCTTCATCATCACAGGAAAAAACAATGTTTAAAAGATAATCGCAAAGAAAACGGTTATTTGAAAATGCAATAATATTTCACAACATTATTGTATGTTTGATCAAACAAATGTTAGCCTTAAATTGAGCAGAAGAGACTTCTTTCAAAAACTAAAAAATATAAAAACTATTGCACGATTTTAACCATCAGTGTACCTACTTAACATAGCATCTTCATTTAAATGTCAAGTTCTGGACTGCTTATGAAAATATTTTCAAATTAATATTGGAATAAGTGACTGAAAGGCTCCATTCAGGGTTTCGAAAAATAAATGCTTCTCTTTCTGACAACCACATGTTAAGTTTTCACAGTGCTGCTATTGACTGAAAAGTAAAGAGACAGGCACGATTTCATTCAGAGCAAGCGATTGTCTGTGCGCCTATGTGGAGAAACCATGACAACAAAACACGGACAATAGTTTCACGTCATTACTGCAACACTTAATTACGGCTTCTCGACCTGTCCCCTCCAGGCCGCTCTGTTTGATTTGTGTTATTACCCACGATGACAGGGGGCTGTTTCAGATCAAACTGAACTACAGACTCTCTTAGCCTGGAGTCTCTCTCAAACAAACCCGCTTTTCCAGTATCAGATGAAAGATCTTCAGCAAACAAGTGTTCTCTAATCACTAATCAGTGCAAACGGGAAAGTCATGGTTGTCCATCCAGATCATGAAGATAATATAACGCCATTCAGCACAACATACCTAAAAGCTGGAAAAGCTGGAAACGAAATTGTAATGTGAGTGCATGGATATACACTACAGTTTAAACATTTCGATTTATTTTTAAAGAAATCAATACTTTAATTTAGCAAGGGTGCATTAAATTGATCTAAAGAGACAGTAAAGATATTTGTAACATTACAAAAGTGTCCCATTTCAAATAAAAGCTGTTCTTTTGAACTTTCTATCCATCCAAGAATCCTGAAAAAACTATCGCAATTTACACAAAAATATTAAGCAACAAGTGTTTTCAACATTGATAATAATAAATGTTGCTTGAGCACCAAATCAGCAATATTTCTAGAGGATCATGTGTCACTAAAGACTGGAGTAATAATGCTTAAATTTAGCTTTGCCATCATTTAATGAATAAATTCAATTTAAATAGAAAATAGTTTAATAACGCCAGCTGCCTTCTCACTCTCTTCTCCCTGACGGCAAAGTGACACACACCCGCCTCCTGTCACTCAGTCCCATTAAAATAATGCTTGTGTTGTGTATAATTTTACTAATTCCAGCAGGTTTCACGCTCACACCAACTCACACTGATCTATTTTAAGTGGAGCACAATAACCGCCTCTCAAACAGCTTGTGAGTTGCAAGAAACCAAATGAGTGACTTAGTTACTGCATTTAAACAAAATTATGTCAAAATGCCCGTCTTGGCGAGTTTTCAGCTAGTCTTCAAACCCAAATCTTCAATAGTTGCACAGTTTATCCAAAAAAAACAAAAAAAACAAATAAAGACAGACACAACACACACACAAAACAATATGGTTGCCATTACCTTCTTAATAGTGCAATGATGCTGTTTCTCCGTCTCTATCCTCTTCTTCAGCTCATCCCTCATGTTGTCTTTCTCGGAGCAGATGCCCAGAATCAGCTCCTGATGTTTCTTATTCTCATCAAGCAACCTGAAAAACAGTTACCAGCTGTCACTACCAATGTTAGCACATTGTAATACACTGGAGCTTCTGCAGTGTGAAATAATGCTCTTTCTGTTGTGTCCGTCTGTGATTTGCTTGTTGTCAGTGTGAAGCATATTTTTACAAGCTAAACTGGTGATCTAAACATCTAAACATATAAGTATCAGGCGCCATGTGTCATAATGTAGAAAACAGGTGTCCAAGAGCGTCACCGATCAGACAATATTAACAGCAGGTCGGGCAAGGAAAAGCTATGGAGTGGTTCCAATATGAGAGTCAGCCAGATGCCCTTGAAAAAATTAATAAAGGCAAAACATGAGGGGGTTTTAGAGCAGAAAGGCTCAGGTTGACCACATCATAAAATATCAATAGCAGCACCACAACAAAATAAATCATAGCTGTGAGCTTGCAATGTGAACTAAATGTCATGAGTTACACAGGCAATGACTCGTGAAATAAAACACAGACAATTCTAATGCATGGTCTTCACTGGCTGGATGCAAAAGCATTTTTGCCAGGCTACACCGACAATAAATACGCCTAGTCCCAGGCTAAAATGCATGTTTGAGCTGTCTTACCTGAAAGCAACTTGCACCTAAAATATGTCATTCACAGTGCCACTGTTTTGTTTCAAGAAATGCCGGTAATGTTTTTTTTTCTAAAGCATGTTTATAAAAGCTACTTCAATGCCCAAACTGAACAAAGGTCTAATGCTAGCTTAGGCTCAAGTAGTATGATTTTTTAGCAAATTAAGTCAGTTCTTTCAATTAATTGGTCAAAAAGACTCACAGAATAAGCATTGCTTTGAATCATTCACACAAGACATAAATTAATAACTGTATAATAACTTACCCGTTTCATAATATCCAAAAAACATCAGTTTTAAAAGACCTATATTGTTATAAAATATGATAAGTATTACTAATTATTATTATTATTATTATATTAATAATAAGTCTATATATAATCTATTAGTACTAGGGCAGTCAAAAAATTAATCGCGATTAATCGCATCCAAAATAAAAGTTTGTGTTTACATAATATATGTGGGTGCACTGTGTATTATTTTATATATATATATATATATATATATATAAATACACACACATGCTTGTATATATTTAGGAAAAAAAATATTATTTATATTTAAAATATTTAAATATAATATAAAATATATATAAATCTATATGCAGTATATACATGAAAATATTTCTTAGATATATACAAGGATGTGTGTGTATTTATAGACCATTTCACAAGATGTAAACAACACTGGTCCAGAAGCACTTCCTGTTTCAGTTTTTTAACACTACATATAAGCTGGGATAAAATACAACCAAGTTAGAACATTTAAAACTGAATCAAAAAGTTAAACAAACATCTTTAAGATTTTTTCTTTACATGTGAAATAAAGAAAACAGTTACATACTGAAACAGCAAGTGTTTCTGATCTGGACCAGTGTTGTTTACATCTTGTGAAATGGTCTATATATATATATATATATATATATACAGTGTATATAAAATAATTATACACAATGCAACCACATATTAAGTAAACACAAACTTTTATTTTGGATGCGATTAATCGCAATTAATCATTTGACAGCCCTAATTAGTACATATATGCATTATATGAAATACAATTGCTGCAGATGTCTTTAAATATATATATATAAGATATATATATAAAACATATATATATGAAAGATAGTGATGAACGTGAAGAGTAATTTTCATGCAGGTAAGAAAGGCAAATTAAAGTAACGATTTACAATCTCATGCTGCTATAAATCTTATCACCAGCAGACTATAACCTCCAGTGAGCTGATTGACATAGCTATTAATCAACAACCTACCTCTTGATGGCTTTCTCTTGTTGGGAGTACTTGTACTGTACACACTTCTCAAACAAAGCCATGGAGTTCTGGTCCTTCTGTAGTCCATTGGAAGGATGTCCCTTTCGGAGGCCCTCTGACTGACTGTTCAACAGCTCATCTTCCAGCTCATCCAGTAGAGACTCCTGAGACAAAGAGCGTTGGATCTCAGACATCAGCTTCCTGCTGCAGTCCGTGTCATATGGGTTCATGTTGGAGTTGGATTGTGAGTTAAGTGGTACTGAAACAACATCTGGCAGTTCCTCACCCTGACCAGCTGGTGTAGAAGTCAAAGGAGGTCCGTTAAGTTCTGTTGGCCCATTAAATGCATCAAACTCTGTGGATGAAAAATCATCTGTCCCATTCAGAACAGATGGAGAAGATTCCTCTACCTCATTCTGAGTCCCACTGTCTGATTCTGGAACCACCCCTGCTGGTTCCTCAATGCCAGAACATCCGAGTTCTCCATCAAAAACAGCGGGAAGTGATTCTACAACACTGTCGTGGACAGCTATTGGTGTCCTGGCATCATCAATGGAGGCTGTTCCACTGTCACAGCTAGTGTTCCCATCACCCTGTGCTTGTCCTCCAGATCCATCCTCTGGCTGAACCTCTGTGTGACCTCCTCTGTCCACACTACCTGGAAGAGTACCATCCAGCTCAAGACTGTCCAGCTCAGTGTCTTCATCCTGTTCTTTTAAAACAGGTTCACCCTCATTGCTGAGGACATAGGTTGACCCATCCGGAACCATGTTGACCTCTGAACTTTGTGAGGGGTCAGAGACAGGGGTCAGTTCACTCTGACAATCCAACTGCTCCATGATCTCCTTCAGCAACTGGCACTGGAAAACAAACCACACACAAGTGACTCACATGCATGTGAAACTCAAAACAAAGCACCTGCCTAATAAAAAGATGACTTTTATGATCAACATAAAACATCTTTATAAAGGGATCACCAAGTCAAATAAAGCAGACCGATTAATATGACTATTTTACATTATCAGATTTCCGATTGGATGTTTTCTTGTGCAAAAAGTCTCAGTCGTCACACCTGCTGTCATGATACTGCCATTAATAGTATCTCCCAAACCCACACATTTCCATGATTGAGGTGTGGTCCTTTATTTCAAAATAAGGACACGGCTCTCCTTCTACCCGGAGGCAGTTTTGTAATGGCAGTATTGTGAAACTAAGATGGCCCGCCTTTCTCACGCCCAATTTGCCTGATACGTCATTGTATTAGAATTCAGTGGCTTCCTGCATTCCCAGCTAAATGCCTATACATGACACTGGAACGCACAAAAGAAAATACTTGGCATTGAGGAAAAAAGTCACACTAAATGAGTGAAACCGGGGCAGAAACCCATCCAGTAGGATAATACTCCAGTAGGAGAGAATGGACCTTAACCCAAACACCTTGAGCCCACATAAGGTTTCTTTTTTAATCTTGTCTTGCAGGTAACAACGACTCTACCATTTCTTTGAAAAAAAAAAAAAAAAAAAAAAAAAAACATTATATTTTTGTAGGGCCGTTTAAAACGCTGCTTTCTCTCATTTTTTAACTTTGAATTTCTCTTAGCTTTTTTAACTCTGGGAATGCTTCTTCAGTTGGGAAATGCAATAAGGCTAGACCGATTTTGAACCGTCAAAACCATTTCGATAGTCTGTCAGTTTTCAGTATTGGTAGGCTAAATGACGGAAAATACTATAACCTACATTACAAAATGTATTACCATAAAATATACCCAAAAGCTTTGTTAGTGGATCATACACAACTTCTGTTTGAGAGACAAGACTTTCTAGGACATGATGTGCAATTGCCAATAACTCAACTTAAACTTTAACTTTAAAAGGTCACCAGCTTCTCATGCCTCTCTTCAAGCAAACATTGTTTACTGTCAACTAGCACGAAACTGAAATGTTTGATATTTCAAACTCAGTGAACATACTTTAAAAAGTTGTTAAATGTTTGATAAACGACTTCAAATACACGTTTTAGTCAGAGCTTTCAGTAGAAAAAACATTTTGACCCACATTGAAAAGTTAAGCAATTTCCAGCCCATGTTAACTTCCCTCTTTCTTATCAGTGTTTGAAATGTCTTTGTTTCTTTATCTTCAGTCTCACAGATCATCATATTATTGCATTTCTTCTGTAATTCTACAGGGGAGGATGGACAGTGCTCTGCTACCCACACAACCAGACACATTTGCTCACACCAAACAAGTTATTTTATCTATAAACCCCATTAAAAGAGGAATAATTTGTAAACAAAAACAGTAATGATGATTATGTTGTTAATTTTGACAGATACTGCTGTTTCCACACAGTTGCAGTTAGCTTTAGCACGCAGGCTAACCTTTCCAAATATATCACATTCTACGTGTTAATCAGAAAACACCTGCTTTGTCCAAGCGAATCAAAAGAGATACGGTATCAATGTAATTAATTAGTGAATGGTCAATTATTTAAACACCTACAATACAAAAATACACACATGTAAAATGTGAATTGTGTGTGCTAATCTAGACCTTCATACATAACATTCTCAGGCTGACCATATGAGTTTTAACCGCTATATATAACTATAACAAGAAATTTAGCTTGCTATAATGATATGACAAGAGTGTATTTATTAATTTTGTAGATTATAAGTATATAACAATAGTATATCATCCAGCTGCCACTGAGTTCACCCAATGATTTAGCTTTCAAGCTAATTATATGAACATCCGCTTTTGCGGTTCGGATCTGGATATGTTGGGTTATAATATGTGACTTACCGGTTATGTTAAATCCATTTAAAATGCCATACACCAGCTGTAGTGATAAATAGTGAGAGTCAAGCCCGTGTAAGTGATCTCCTCCCGAGGTGACACATCAACAATATGGCCCCTGCACTGATAGCGAAAAATTGCGAACACCGAGATGGCCAGCAGGCAGTTACCTAGAACGCATGATCAAATCCCGCCAACAGGGGGAGCCAAGTCGCCCACATTACTTTTCTGAAGAGTTTCTGAAAGACCACATGAATTTAATTAATTATTTCAATTAATTAAAGTTAAAATACTTATATTGGTAAGACATGTACTGTCAAAAAATGTAAATACGCGTTCTGGCTTTATGTTCTAGTTGTAATCTAAACCAAACGGTAAAGATCGGAAGTCTGTCGCCTTTTGCCATGGTTTAAAGGCTCCCTCCTCTTACTTTGTTTTTGTTGTTGATGTAGCGTAGTGTTTATTAAATTTGAGGGTATTTATAAAGTATTTATATATCTATATATAACTATAACTGATATTTTATAATATTAGACCAATAATAATTATGATAATGCATAGACAAAGTTAACCGCGCATTGTTTTGGGCAGGATGTGGAATATTTTTTGGAATATAATTGGATTTTTGTCCAATTAATAAAATAAATAATGATCAAATTGAGTTATCAGTTTATATGACAAATGTTGCAGCCATAATAACTTCTGAGTATACTGCATAAAATAAGTAGCCTACATCTAATTTTGGTGTCTTTTAAAATGTATTATGTATATTGACCAGTGACCACCTTCATAAAGTTAACAGGGTGACAGTTCTACAGTTTAACCCTTATGTGCTGTTGTGGCTTTTTTCAGCCACTAAGGGGTATTTTTTAGTCTTAATTTGGCCGTAACTTTTTCTTTGTTTCAGCAAATGGAATGATTTTTGGTGACAAATCCTATTTTGACACATATTTTGGGAAAATGCTTTGAAATTTTTCAAAAACTCAACAGTACACTCTGGGCAAATTCACTACCATTTCGTTATGTTCGTGGCTGAAAAAAGCCACTACTTTAAACTGCTGTAAAAATGTATCAGATAAATATTTTTTTCAATTTTTTTTGCATAAATCTATTAACCGACCTCAGTCCTAAACAAAACTACTAAATGTTTAAAAAAAATTCAGGATTTTAACTCTTTAATTGCCAAATTCATAAATGATGTCACTGATTTGGGAAAAAAAAAACACAGAAAATGACTTATTTTCAATATAAAATATGATTGTGGACTGGATTTTTTTTCACCTTTTATCACAGTCTTGGACATGTCAAAGATTAGAAACAACATTGGTTTTGATGCATTGTTAGTTTTTGTGTAGCATCAGATTTTAACTTTTTCTCCCTCATTTACTGTTCGTGGCTGTTTTTGCCCCATTGACTTCCATTATAACCACATTTTTTGATTGCAAAGCCATGACACCATAAAATCATGCATTTTTGATTGTTGATGGTTTTCCCTGTTGGGAAGAGGTAAAATTTGTAATTTTTACTGTTGATAACCAGGTGGAACCATTTAACCCTTTAGACAGGCCTGTGCAAAAAAAAGCTTAGTTTCTGGCTTTTACATGCAGTTATATGGAGTATAATAGCATATTACAGTGTGTATATGTGTGTGTGGGTGTGCGTGAGTGTGTGAGAGAGTGTGAGAACTCACCTTGATGCGTCTGAGAAAATAAAAATATACACTTCAGCGCTCAAAACTACATGGAGTAAACAAAGTAAGTGTATTTATGCATCTGCTGCCTTTTGATGGTGAGAAATGCAGACTAAACAAAAACAAAGCAAGTGGATATAAACGCTTGTCATTTGATGGTGAGAAGAGCAGCAAGCACCATGAGAAAGGGCTTGACTTGTAGTGAAGTTTTAGAGATGATTATGCAGTCTGACCCCTCCAGCGAGCTGCAGGAGGTATTGTCTTCTCACTCTGACCGCAGACTCAGGACAGTCAGATCCTGGTGTGGATGTGGCACCCTCATCATCATCTCAAGCTTCCACTGAAGGCGAGGAAGATTCAGATGATCCTGGATCTGGATGGACTGGGAGAATCTTGAGAGGGACATGGTGGTTCTGAAAATCGCACGACCACTGCGATCATCCCACATGCAACGTGTGGACTCCCCTCTGGATCTGTAGACGCTGGCCAAAATCAGTAGCCCCATGTTGGCACAGAGATCTGTGGAGTCCACCCCAGTCCAGTTTCTCATTGTGCGGTGTCCATGGAGGTTGGTCATGCTGACAATGAGGTCAGTCGTCTCCTCCGTAAAAAACAGATTGAACACAGAATCCATGTTCTGAACCATTGCGATAGCATTGCGTGTCGGCCCTCGACTCACGCCTCTTGCAGGCTGAAGAAAGGGAATTGTCTCCGCATTGGTGGAAAACCATACTTCACCATTTCTCCCAATCCACCCAGATCCAGGATCCACATAATCCTCCTGCTTTCAGTGGAAGCTAGAGCTCCACTGAAAGCGAGGAGGATTCAGAGGATCCTGGATCTGTGGACTCCACAGATCTCTGTGCCAACATGGGGCTACTGATTTTGGCCAGCGTCTACAGATCCAGAGGGGAGTCCACACGTTGCATGTGGGATGATCGCAGTGGTCGTGCGATTTTCAGAACCACCATGTCCCTCTCAAGATTCTCCCAGTCCATCCAGATCCAGGATCATCTGAATCCTCCTCGCCTTCAGTGGAAGCTTGAGATGATGATGAGGGTGCCACATCCACACCAGGATCTGACTGTCCTGAGTCTGCGGTCAGAGTGAGAAGACAATACCTCCTGCAGCTCGCTGGAGGGGTCAGACTGCATAATCATCTCTAAAACTTCACTACAAGTCAAGCCCTCTCTCATGTTGCTTGCTGCTCTTCTCACCATCAAATGACAAGCGTTTATATCCACTTGCTTTGTTTTTGTTTAGTCTGCATTTCTCACCATCAAAAGGCAGCAGATGCATAAATACACTTACTTTGTTTTTGTTTACTCCATGTAGTTTTGAGAGCTGAAGTGTATATTTTTATTTTCTCAGACGCATCAAGGTGAGTTCTCACACTCTCTCACACACTCACGCACACCCACACACACATATACACACTGTAATATGCTATTATACTCCATATAACTCCATGTAAAAGCCAGAAACTAAGCTTTTTTTGCACAGGCCTGTCTAAAGGGTCAAATGGTTCCACCTGGTTATCAACAGTAAAAATTACAAATTTTACCTCTTCCCAACAGGGAAAACCATCAACAATCAAAAATGCATGATTTTATGGTGTCATGGCTTTGCAATCAAAAAATGTGGTTATAATGGAAGTCAATGGGGCAAAAACAGCCACGAACAGTAAATGAGGGAGAAAAAGTTAAAATCTGATACTGCACACAAACTAACAATGCATCAAAACCAATGTTGTTTTTAATCTTTGACATGTCCAAGACTGTGATAAAAGGTAAAAAAAAAATCCAGTCCACAATCATATTTTATATTAAAAATAAGTCATTTTGTGTTTTTTCCCCCCAAATCAGTGACATCATTTATGAATTTGGCAATTAAAGAGTTAAAATCCTGAATTTTTTTAAAAAATTTAGTAGTTTTGATCAGGACTAAGGTCGGTTAATAGATTTATGCAAAAAAATTTGAAAAAAATATTTATCTGATACATTTTTACAGCAGTTTAAAGTAGTGGCTTTTTTCAGCCACGAACATAACGAAAGGGTAGTGAATTTGAACAATGCACAAGGGTTAATTTGACATTAAAAGGCGTATGCTTAAAGTCATGAAACTACAAGGTGCTTCTTTGAAAGAGATTTTAATTCTGACATGTGTAATGTAACATATCCATGCACTTTTAATTTATTACTTAGCATACACAAAATCATGGTAGAGTTGGCATTTTTAGATTGTCTGACAAACATTAGAAAGTAATTAACAATGGGAGATTTTAACTTGACTTTGTCCACTTATTGAAAGAATGATTATGAAATTATGAAAAAAATAAAAGTATATAAACATATGAAATTGCATTTGGGTGGAGGCCTCTATAAAATAATCTGTGTTAGTTTTTGCTATCCACGGCTGACGTATGCTTCTCATTTGTCGCTTTGGATAAAGGCCTCCATCGAATACTGTAAATGTTCCAGGCTGTCCTAATCAGTGAGAACCTTGAAAAACACAGAACTCAATTAGTCAGTTCAGTTGTACTTTGTCCTACTTTTTCAAGAGAGAGTCATGCATCGTGACTTCTAAATGTAGTGGCTCACCTCCTTGGTGACCTCCTGATTTGCACCAAGTTTAAAACGACAGCAGATGATGTCAACAAAATACCCAATCAATCTGTGAAGCAGGTCTGTGTGAAGAAGAAGAAACGTCTATGAATATTTGGCTATGATTTGTCATGCTGCTGCTGCTCATGTTCACAAAAGTCTTTGCATACTCACATTAATAATACATTTTGTGAACTTGCTAATATGTTGGATAAACGACTTAACAATAAAAAATAAAATATACAACTTGCCTTAAACAATAAAAACATTTATTGTAACTGATTTAAACTTATATTTAGATTGTATAGTGTGTAAAAGTTACCTGAAGTTGAAAAGATTCCCCCAATGATGCCACACAATCTCACAAGAAACACAGAGAGAGGCATATGCTCCTCGCTCACGCTCACCATTAATGGACTCAGTTTATACTTAACAAAGATCCCAAATACACCATGGCTGCCTTTCTCCTGGATTACAACCCTCTCCTGTATGACAAGGCAACATGATCAACAGCAACACACACTTTCACAAAGATACACATGCATGCACAGGGTACACATACCCTTTCTGTAACAGAAAACTGGTGCATGTCCACTGAAACATTTGATGTGTGCAGCTTGGTGGGAACAACTGTGATAAAATACTGAAACAGCATATTTTCTGAAAACACAGATTAAAAACACATCTGCTGCTGTACTGCATGTAGAAAGTAATTATTTACATGTTTAAATTTATTTGCATACATCATAAGAAAAAGACCTACGCTCAAATGCAATTTTTTCTGTGCCATCAAGGGGATTGATGTGTCCAGGAACATCGTTTCCAAAAGACAAATGATCAATTCGATGTGAGAAGTTATATACAGCTGGAAAAAAATGAAAGATAATTGTGAATATAGGGATTGCAAAGTGTGAGCCCTCCATCTAGAGGATATCTAAAGAATTACATGATTTTTCAATTTGAATGTACTGAAATTTCTTTAAAAGTTGACAACCACATAATTGAAATAAAGACTGTTTAGAAATGGCACAATATTTCTCTAAAACAATTACAATGATATTTTGATGAGTAGGTAGGCTAATAGTAAGTAAACATACCTTCATTTTTTAATAATGAAGCAAAATGGGCATGACCTCTGATAGTTTCAATTGGTCTGATGATTACATATCAACAAATAATTTAATGTAGAAGACATATTTATAAAAGCACCAGTATTTCTGTTGCTAAAAGTGTATACTTACTTGCCTAGTGTGATATGGAAGTTCCCTGCTACTTTACTCACATAGATTTGTCCATGTATCCTACATGCATTCTGGGGTTCGGATTCAGAATCATTTCTGTGCAAAGAAAATGAATTAATTGTTTGTAAGGGAAAAGCTTTCGTTCCATCGTGTTAAATTAAATGAATAAAATATAATGTAATATCTTTCTGTTATGTGGGTTTAAATAATACCACGGTTGTTTACCAAAAATATCATTGCATCATGTACTTTATTGCATCATCACTGAACTTAGAGGTAAAGTTCACTTTGAAATTAATTTTTGGTATGTTTTAGCTTACCTCAAGGACATTCAGGATGTAGGTGTCTTTGTTTCCACAGTAGTTTCAATTTAGATTTTTCTGTTCGTATATCAGTCATACATAATGGAGGTCTATGGTCACCACCTCAAAGAGCATGCACAGAGAAGTCCAAATTAAACATGATTTAATGACTCAAAAATGTAAGTACACATTGATGGCCCAAGACACGAAACGAGCGGTTTGAAAATTAACAGTATTCGTTTTTACCTCTTTTAACCACAGCCACGTCCAAGTGATCTGAGGGCGTGTGTGCTTTGTGGCAGTGGTTACAAGAGGTAAAAACGATATAAATACATTTCGTTTTCTCACACAAACCACTCATTTCGTGTCCTGGGCCATCAATGTGTATTATATTTACGAGTCATTAAATCATGTTTAATTTGGACTTCTCTGTGCATGCTATTTGAGGTGGTGACCATAGACCTCCATTATATGACTGATGGACATGAACGGTGTGACCTAAAAATATCAAAATTGAAACTACTGTGAAAACAAAGACACCTACATCTTGGATGCCCTTGAGGTAACCTAAAACATACCAAAAATTAATTTCAAAGTGAACAATCCCTTTAATATTTTTGCAATTAATTAAACAGATATAGCCTACCCTGGAACTGGGTCAGAAAAGTATCCTTTCAACGCTGATTTAAAGAGTACGTCTTGAAGTGAACGCTCCTCCCTTAGATTGTTTTGAATCTGCTGTAAAATCCTTAGATACAATAATCAGAGATGAAGATTTATAATCCACACACATCTGGACAACTGTGCAAGTGATAACTGACAAACAAACAGTAGGCCTACGTACTGATACCACATTTGTCTCTTTGGAGAGGGCTCGAAGCTAACCTGAAAAACGAAATCACAAAACAGTTATTAACAGCTAATGAAATCTGAAATGCAGTGGATGGTTTGCAGTTACTTACAGGATCATATTTCAGTTCCTTTGACGCAATGACATTGCCAGCAATATCCAACACATCTGCACCCACCTCTAGACACGAATATGGTTTTAAAATCTTATCCGTGAGATTCGTTGATTGATTCAGAATAATGAATACAGTCTGGCCATAAAATATTTTGAAATATAACTCTAGTGCAGACAGATTCACTTACTTTCACATTTCATGGCAACTGTGATGTCAATTTTTATCTTCAATTTACTGCCAAAAATCAAAAACAGCAACAAAACAAAGTTAGGTCAGGTCCTATAATTTCTTTAAATGTGTTTTAGAAAAATCTCAATAAATATATAACTGTAAACACGCAAAAAAAAAAATACACACCTGGTAAAATCTGTGTCTACTTTATATTCATATTTCATCCATGTGTCCTGGTACACAAGATACTCTGATATGGCCAGAAGTGCCATGAGGATGAAAACAATCAGAGACACTGGAGAAGACAACCAAGAAGTCTTAATCAGAAACAGGTAATATTACAGGTAACAACTACTGTAATATTCAAACAGCAAATGTCAAAATTCACCTGTGCCTCCAAAAGCTGATGTTACAACACAGCTCTCTGGAACCTTAGGAAAGGCATCTATATCTTTCACTATATCGATAGTATTTCTTCTGCTCAGTCTTCTCATTGTAGTAATGTCAGTAGTCCTGTACTTGCAAAAACATGATGAAAAGGATAAGAGTTTAACTATCACCATACTTCCCAAGGTGATTTGTGACAGTACATTAAGACAATAGTTTTTTTGTACAAGTTTTCTAAAATTCTATAGCCCGATTTCACAGATGGGGCTTAGATTAGGATTAGGCCTTAGTTCAATTTTAAGTTGATTTTATACACGCGCCTTAGAAAAAAAACAAAAAACAAACAAACAAACAAACATTACTGCCGTGCATTTTTAGACAAAATGGCACTGGCATTTTAAGATACGTCAGTGAAAGTTGGTTTCTGGTAAAACAGCTCAAACATATTTTAGGATTAGTTTTAAGCCTCGTCTGTGAACTGGGCATTCATTTTAATAAGCAAATGAGGCATTATCCAATTAAATATGCACTCATTTATTACAATTTCCAAAACAGAAATCTTAATATTATTGGATTAAGTCAAGTTTAAAATTCTTGCTTTATTTTATTGACATGAGTTAAAGACAGAAAAATCATTTTAATAACGTGTTATATGTTAGATTCCTCTGTATAATCATACAGAATAGCCTATAAATATGATACAACTGGAAAATTTGGTGTATGTAAGTGCTACTGACTTCTGCCTCGGTGCATGAGAAAAAAATAAATTCGAGAAAACAACCTAAAGATCTATTGTAACTGAAATTTTGTAATTGACAGACCAGGCTTAAGCCTCAGACTAAATGCATGTTTGAGCGGTTTTAACTAAAAGTTTATAAAAACTATGCCCTGTCTGTGAAACTGGGTCTTAGTGCCTGTCTTTCCAACTTATTGCACAAAAGCAAACAGCTTGGCTTACTGTAAATATGATCATTCTTCCTGTTCACAACTGAAATAACTGTGATATTTAACTCCATTTCAGCACAATCTCTAAAAATAAAACTGACATTATAAGTCACAACAAGACTGATCCAAATGTAGATTAAATATGTCTTACCTTTTCCCCAAACACCTTTAAAACCAGGCTTTAAACACTTTCCAGTGGGACCGTCCATTTACTTCCATTCAAATATGCTGTTTTGCAACCACTGCCACATAGTGGAACAGCTGGTTTTACCAGCTAAACAAAAAAGCACGCAGCACAAAAGTGGAGTGACAGAACTGAAATACCTTGGCCTGATACATCCCTGGTTATGTTATTATGCTGTGTAAACTGGGTTTGTCATATCATGGTAAGCTTTAACCAGTTGGCAATTCGTTTATGGTATGTTCTTTTGACAAAATAAATAAATATTGTATTCACAAGCACACATGCTTTAATCACAAACATAACACATGGGAGAACCACAGAAAAAACTAAACACAACCACATCCAACATAAGCCATAACAAAGAACCAAGGGAAATAAAGGCTTAATACACACAGTTCCTGGAGGGCCACAACCCTGCAGAGTTTAACTTAAACCCTAATTAAACACACCTGATCAGCTAATCAAGTCCTTCAGGCCCATTTGAAAACTGCAAGTGTGTGTGTTAAAGCAGGGCTCTGGTTGGAACTAATCTCTGTAGGGCTGTGGCCCTGAGTTTGACACCCCTGAGCTAAATGAAACAGGTGAAACGAATCAGTAAATAAACTGTCACACACTATGGGCTGCATTTAAAAAAATAGGCACCTGACTTGTTGCCTTGCTGCCTTATAGCCAACAACTCTGCTTTTAGCTTTTGCGCATGAAAGTACCTCACAAAACTGATTTTGGGCAGACTTCTGAGGCAGCGTAATGATTTAATGATCTACAGCAAAACAGAGAGAGCTTTGGTGAGAACTAAGCAAATATTTAATTACTACAGTAGTAATTTCTCTCTAAAAATGACATCAGAAGTGGAAGTCATTGGTCAAAAACATTTACACACAAATTGGTCAGGAACCATAACTTTTCTGACACCATCTTTATTTTTTGTGATGAACTGCCTGTCACTAATGGAACACTGGGATATCAAAGAAAGTGACCGATACATTTTCTGCTTCCTTCAAAAATCGATCAGATGAAGTTATCTCAGTAGACAGGAAGTGAAGCTACAGTATTGGATTGGGATATGCCTTGACGCTTTCCTAACTTGGAATGAGTTATCCAAAGGCAGCATGTTGAAGTTATAAGAAACAGTGAAGGGGGGAGAAGAACACCAAAACAGACTCTTTACAGCATTCAATCTTTATGTATTTTTTTTATTTATTTTTTTATACAATTTATTTTAATTTATTTTAGAGATTTTCGTTTTAAAATGTATGCACATTTAAATTGAACTTTTACTTTGAATTTCATTCTAATGGATTTACTTTATCTTAATCCACCATGTATAGCCTATTACTGTAACTGTTTTGTTTCTCGTGTCTATATCTGAAAATTGTAATGTAGATTTTGCCTTTAAATAAAGCAACACTACAAAATATGTTACGGTGCATTAATTTTATAGTTTATGTGAAAAGAGGAAGGCTCCTCAATCACGTGAAGTTCTTAGGTCGCAGAGGTCGTTCAATTGCGCATGCGCACACATTTCCTAAAGCAGCACGAGGTCGAGGTGGTGTCAAGGGTAAGAACATCTCCATCTTTTATCTCTGCAATAAAACATTCGGGAAAATTTAGTATTTCAATTTAATTTACACTTATCAAGTTTTCTAGGTAACTTAAGGGTAAGGGTAACTTGAATAGAAAACTTGCAATGTCGATTAATCTAGCAGGCCACGTGTAACGTTAAATCTGCGTCATTCTCAGTATCAATACTGACATTATTACATTTTTCATTACACTGGGTTTTGTAGTAATATAACATTAGTTCAGATAACTTTTATAGAAAAGGAAAGCATATCAGCATGTATTCAAGGCGTGAACTAACTTTTTGCACATCTGCTGCTAATGCACGGGCACAACAATTTTTTATTTGTTTTTGCAAAAATGGGCAGTTCCGACACCAACATTTTAGATACCAGTGACAATTCACAATGTTTAGTTACAGAAATGTAAAATAACAGCGCATTGTTGTCTACACTGTATGAATTAACGTATTAATCGGTATACAATTTACAAGGCAAGTCAATAGCAGTTCGTGAAATACTTTTTGGGGCGAATATTTGCCACTTCATGAGCAAATACTGATGCTTTTTCCTTTTGTGTCGTTAACTGTCTTTGACTATGCTTACGACGATAAGTTAATTAACGTTACTCGACATCACGGGGTTTTTGAAGCCCAAGAAGTGAAAAACGCTTAGTTCAATATTCGCGTGCTGTCTGAGATGCGTCACTGGCCTGTCAACTGTCCCCCTCGTTCATGTTCTCAGTCACAACATTGCATGACTAGAATTCATTATAAATATTAACTTACAGGCCAACTGGCAATTGGCCCTCCACGTTCATTAAACCTTTGTCCGTTATCTTGCTTCATATACCTATCTGATGCTGTAATTAAACACACCTGAACCAAATAGTGAATGTCTCTGGGTTCACTTGAAAATGACAGACAATTGCATTGTAGCAGATTGAGCGAGGAATAGGATTGACTACCCTATCTTCTCATACACACAGACATGCACACAAATTCATAATACTGACTAATAGTGTATATTATTTTACCTCACAGTGAAACCAAGGGAAGAATGAATCGATCTTTTACTCAGACTTTGGCGAGACCCAATCTCCCTCTGAGGAGACCTGCGACTGGACCGGGTTCACTTGGTCCTAGAGGACCAGCACCAGTAATTCAGGAGCACGCTCAAGAACATCTTCTAGCAAGTGATGTTCTAGATGGTATTGGTTAATTGTTTTTAAGCATTTTGTCATTGACTCTTTTGGGGGAAAAAAAAACAATCTTGATCACTTTCTGTTTCTATTTCTTTAGATTCTAAAAGTGATGCTGTCAGAAAGGAGAGTGTGATTTCTGCAAAAAACAATGTATGTGATAATGCCTCTATATATGATTAAATGTGTATCTTTTCAAAATTATTATGTTTTTTAAGTCATACTATTCTTAATATGCTAACATTTGGTTGTTTAGCTATGTAGATATATTTGTAATATTTTTTTCCTCTTGAGACTTTAACCAGAGATCAGACAGCTTTGATAGATTTCTGCTGTAGTATCAATATTTAAAGCGTTTAACTGTTTTCCACAGTGTGGAGATTTCTTGTCTCCCCCACAGACAGCAGGCTCCATGCTGGGCCCACTGGTAAAGTTGTGCAATTACTGCAGTCACCAGGGTAGGTTACTTTGCTTGATTTCAGTCAGTGTTCAACTTGCTTGCTTTTATTTTTAGGGCTGGTCCAAATACCTTTTTTGAGCTTTGAAGCTTCGGTAGTAATGAACATTGAATATTTGAAGCTTTGGATTCTCTATTTATTCGTCTGTCCGTTTGCATTTTGATTATTTTGAAAACCGTTCATCCAAACAACTTCACAAGGAAGTACAATGTCATATTTGTTGCAATATAGATAGGTAGGCGAGACGCAATCCGTTCAGAATTAATACACTTTTAATAAACTAAGTTAATACCACTAAGTTAATACCACTAACAAGGCTCAAAATAGCCCCATACTAACACATTAACATAATGAGGGTCCCTGCATGCAAAATGAAGCATTGAGAACTTTGTAAGTGTTTAGACCGTTTAATAAGAAGATACTTTATTAAGAGTCCACTTCGATAAGAACTTAATATAATATCAATATAAAGGCTTAATATATTTTAAATGGATGAGTTGTAACCCCCCCCCCCCCCCCCCCCCTTACAGTTGTCATGAAGGGCAAAATTAGTGACCAAAACTACTATTTGCCGTCAGGCTGTAAACGTGTTTTTTTTTCTGCTGTGAAGTTAGGCATTTTAACATGAGGGAGATACAGATTTGACTCACTTTTGCAGTTAGCCTCAAGCGGCCACTCGATGAATTGCAGTTTAATTGCAGTTTTTCCGTGTTGGTTTTAAGAGAGAGATGGGGAAGTTGCTGCTTTGTTGGACCATTTCTTTGGAAATTTAATTTTAGGCGTTTTCATAACCAGATAACGCTGCGTAAATGTTGTGGCATAATTGATTTTTGATGTGTGTGTGTGGTGCTACGCTTACCATTTCAAGATGAAATGACTGATAGTATGTTGCAAACATGTCTCTGATCAGCAGAATAAGTTGGTCATTTACTAGTGAAATTTCTTATTCCCTATTTTAGGAAACTTCAGGTGTACTCGTTGTAAAAAAACTTGCTACTGTTCTGTAGCTTGTCAGAGTCAGGATTGGAAAGCTCATCGACATGTCTGCAAGCCTAGTATCCCAGAAGCTACCAGGTACTAGATGTTCTCTGTTTATCAGTGTTATTTGCGTATTGGTTTCAAAGGTCAATGCGAAAATCTTTTTTCAATTATTTTATCATTTATTTATTTTTTTTCAGTGAGAAAATTAAGGAATCCACAGCTATGCCATCTGGAAATGGACTTGGTTGCCTTCAAGCTAAGGTACTCATAGTTGTAATGGGAACTTGCACTTGCAGTGGTTAGTTATTCCATGTAATTCCTTCAAAAAATTCTTCATTTACAGGAGATCTGTGTTGAGCTAAAGCCAAAGAGAATTTATCGACGTGATTTGCGGAAGAACAATGTTTCCAAAGGAGCTGAGATACAGGTACTTTTCAGTAGGCCTATATTGATTTATTCTTTATAGACTCTCTGCCTCACATAGCATCTTTTTTTTTCAGGGTACAGTGATTGACTTGAGGAACCCTGGGATGTTCTACATCCACCTACAGTCAATCGAGATGATGGAGTCCCTGAAAAACATCACTGCAGAGCTCCAGAAGGCTTATAGCACTTCATTTGCACTTAATCCTGAATACAAGCCTGAAATTGGGGAGCTCTGTGCTGTTAAATTTTTACTTGATCGGGTGAGGCACATAGTTACATTTTAATCAAAGTTGTCAGAGAACCAGAGTGATTAGTTTTTATTGAAATATGCATCAATGTCTTAAATCAGTGCAGTGTGTAGCTGGTCAAGTTTGTTTCATCTTAAAGCATTGACTAGTGAGTATTGTTGTGCTCAGTTTGTTCTTTTTCATCCTGAATTAGAACTGGTA